AAAAAAAATTCATTTTTTTGAAAATTTTTGCCCGTTTGACCTTGAAATAAAGGTCAAAGGTCAAATCCAAGGGCATATTTGAAATCTACACATATGACTTTTGGAAAGCCGTCTGTAGAAATTTTTCCCATAATTCCTTCCGTAGGGTAGATAATTAGCATTTAATTTTGCCATTTTTGGACAAGGGTGCATTGCAATGAGTGCCACACCTAGACCCCAATACCGACAAAGCCCAAATTTTACGTGGAACGAGTTGAGATTATAGGTGACCTTAATCCAAGAGATGGGTATGGGGGCCCTTACCGTCTAGGAGGAGAAGCGGTAATGGTAACATGGCGGCGGAGCCGCAGGAGCCGGCGGAGCCGGCGGAACGGACCGGATGGGACTAAAACCATGTGTACCGCCAGCGCTAACGCTGGTGGTACAATTATGAAGTGCAAATTTATGTAGAAAAGGATCAATATATTATATTGAAACTACTATTTAATCGCATGGTAGATCTAGATCAAATTTACATATTTTGAAAAAATTTTCTTCCCACAAAAAGTTATTGTGCAACAATGGAACATTGTGAAACTGAAACTTAATTCTTTACCCTCGTGTCTGTCCTAACATTGAGTTTCCATTGACATGATACCACTTCATATACATAGGTATACAGTAACAGCAGCACCACAGTTACAGGATATATGAAATTTAGCAGATCCCAGCCCAGTCTCTGAGGAGTGATAGACTCTTTACCAAAGGGCCTCCAACTTACCTGTGAATGAAAATAAAAAGATGAAACATAGGAGAAGTTGTTACTCAAACCAAATAACAAGAAGAACCTATTTTGTAATAAACAATGTACCGAAAATGCAAAATGAAGCCCTGGGAGGAAATGGAAAATGCTTTTTTGACTATTAATCAAACTATTATATAAGATAGTCAGTGGGAGTTGACAACCTATTATATGTAGAATAGGAGCAGAAAACAAACAGGGGGAAACAAGACCAATCACTGCAAAATTCAACCTTTAGAGGAGACTCAAAAATAGTGGTACCATCTAAAGAAAAGAAATACATTATCTACGAATGCCAATTAAAGTTCAGATTGTGTTAGGTGTGATATAGGTATTGTGACTGGATGTGCCTCGTTGTGCTGGCAGAGACTGAAATTTCGAGGACTTTTTAAAAACAGTTTTATAAAATAAATGTCCATCTTTCATCCATGCTTAGTTCTAAAAGAGATAAATAGTTTAACTTAATGCTAAATCAGTATTAAGCATTAGAACAAGAGATAACTCACAAAGGTAAGCAGTCTGAAGTATGGCTGTAAGACCACCGACTTGCACCTCTTCAGTGCAGAGGTGGTGAAATTCAAGCTCTGTCCTTCCCAGCCGTCTAGGTCTGTGATCTGGAATGAGACAAATATGGATGACGTAAAAACACCAAAACAATGCAAACTGTGTATATGTAAAGTGATGCTGAAAATAAAAAGTTTCCTGCAGCAACATGAACATTATGGAACACAGTATGTAGGGGAGTAAACGCTAATAAATAGTATACTCCCTACTTGAATTTGGAGATAATTGTAAAAATGAGAAGATGATTCATCCATGGACAAAGCTAAATTGACATCAATGAAGCTGATTTGATTGGTCCCATCACACAACTGGCAAATGGGTAATATACTGGGGGGGGGGGCATACATTGCAACCTTCATCTTCTTTAAAGATGTATATATGTTATCTTTTGAGAAAACATAGACCGACATTTCTAACAAAGTTTCAGCTAATTTTTTTATTAAAATTATTAAATGGATTTGAACTATTCAAAATAAATGATATATTATTTTAGTTAAAATCATATATTAAACAAAGTGAATCAGGGAGATGAAATTGGTAGCCTATTTTGTAGTTTAAAAAGAAGCAAACATTTTCAGGTGAGCAGCTAAGAGGTGAAAACTGCAGGATAAATGACTTCACCAAAAGAGCTACGGGCTAGCAACAACGAAAATACTTCTACTTTGCTTCAATTGGCTAATATGGGATAATAAAGCTCATGGGGACAATTTAACTGTATCAAGTAAGGTACGTTGAAGGGAAATTTTTTGATTTTATTTTAATCAGAGGCTATAATAATTTTCTTTTTTTTGAGGGGGGTGGAGAAGGGGGTAATTCAAAAACTCATACTGTGGTCCTCCATGTCTTGCAGGAGTCACTACTGCCCTCTATATCTGAGTGCAGAGATTCTGTGTAATTAATGGGTTTCAACGAGTTACAAGGTATCCTTGCAGTAAGAAGTGGGCCTAGAGGTTTTCTGAACTAAAATGCAAAATAAACAAATAAATAAATAAATAAATAAATAAATAAATAAATAAATAAATAATATAGTTAAGAAATGCTGTTTATAGGTATTGCTTTGTTTTCTATTTTTTTTTCTTATTCATTCATTCATTCACTCATTTATTCACTCATTCTTTTTTAGGAGGCTTCTGAGATATAACATTGAGTTGAAATTAAGCTGACAAGTATTCTGACCATGCACACACGCACGCGGACACACACATACACACACACACATACACGAAGACACACACACATATATAAAACTTACTGTAACTCTGACAGCGCTAGACTCCACAGAATTAGACAATGAGTTAGCTGCCTGCAATTCGTTCTCCTGTAACAAAACTTCCCGACTGAGATATTTAATTGGGGAACTCGTAACAACTCCAGTGCCCCCGTTGCTGGGGCCATCTTCCATCTGGCCATTTAGAGGTCTATGCACAACAAATTCCACCTCCGGTTCCTCCAAGTCTTTCTCTACATCAGAATCAGAAGAGGGCGTCCCCAAGCCTTTTGCTGTGTCCTCTTCCGATGTCATCTTCCTAAAAGAAACGAAATGTGCCATTATAAATATGAGAAAACTACGGTAACATACAAACATGTAAATTTGTGCCTTTTCAGTTTGATTCCAACGCAATAATAAGGCAACAACAAAGCTGATATTGGGATCTTTTTTTTTTACATGCCTGTCTGACCCTATATTAGGTGGATATATTTATAAACATGTTTACCACATATGACAATAGTAAGATATTTGGCTGACAGGTGCACCAGTTAGGTCGTATCAGTACACTTTGATATCACTGCAGAACAGGTCACTGACCGTATATAATAGTATTTGTATATATGTAAATATCATTGTCCTCATGTCTCACTCATAAATTTATTGTTTTTATAAGTTACTTATTTTTATGTCTTTAACATGTTCTTTGCTAACATGTTAATTTCAAGAGCTTGTATTGATATCAGTGTCAACAATATATAGAATAATAGATTAGGTAAATGTATTATTGTTATTATTATTATCGTGTGCTTGTGCAAATGATCACACACACACACACACACACACACACACACACACACACGGGAAAATGTATACTTATCACCATGAAAGCATGTACAAACAAGGAGCTTTACATGTAACAATTATTACAACAGTAATTAGAAATAATGACAATGAAAAATTATCAACCTCCACACTTCAAAGTTCAGACCACTGCATTCAGCCAGTAGCCAGCATATCTTAGCTCGCAGACCCGACATCCATGCCAGTTATTATGGTCTATTATCAATGTATAATATTAGTTAACAGTTATTTTCAGTTCATGACTAAAAGTGCCATAAGGTTTATCAAGCTATAGTAAAACTTAATTATTTTTAATATTCAATTCGGCACTTAAAAAATAATAACTTAAAAAAAAACAGTGGCATTGACTATCTATTTTAACTAAACCAAGCAAGAAACACTAGCTATCAGTATGGTGAAAAATGGTTATAAAACTGACAGACTGTTCCCTAGCTACCACATACCTACTGTATTTCTGTATTTCTTTAGACGACTGCAGTATAGTCCAAGGCAATTAATCCAGCTCAGGATATCTATCTGACTGGGGATTTCACAATCTTAGCCTGCTATATAGTAACTGTCACCAGCGCTGAGACATACGTACAGTGTCTCAAGTTATTATCAGGTATCTATAGATGCTCCTGTAGACACTTTGCTGGTTATTTATTAACTATGGATATAACTAGCTTGACATCACACAGGAGTAGGTCAGACATATAAGTAAGCACTATGAGTAGACCTGGTTCTAAGTTGGACTACTTGTGACCTTGAATAAAAACTTATTGTATGCTCCATCTACATATTATCTATCATGTAACAAGTTAAGCCCTTTTTTTGACTGCTTCTGAGTCATCCCATATTTTGTTTGTGCACATATGCTCACACACATGCAAACTTGGAGAGAGAGAGAGAGAGAGAGAGATAGAGGGGGAGAGAGAGAGAGGGGGGGGGGGAAGTGCAGTGACATGCAATATGCAATTATAGGTATGACTATTATGACTGCATTTAGAATCAGGTCTTTTAGACTAAAAACAGCCTCGCATTAAGTTAGCCCCAATGGTATCTAGTATGAAACAAATATACTAGTACTGTCCATAATAACTGTGTACCTTACCTAGTAAGTAGACGTACTGAAGAATCCATGAAAACTGATTTAGTCTGACTCCTTAGCAATTGACTCCTTAGCTTCCCAAATGTAACACACAGTAAATGTTTAGATTTGCGCCATGTATTTCTAAAGGATCTCTATCTTTAACATAATACAGTAAGAAAGGAAGTAAACAAGTGCAGAGACTGTTACTAGTATGTACGCATGCTGAAGTAGGTCACAGAAACCAAAGGTGCTTGCAAGTTTGAAATTACATGTCAAATATTTTTTTTAGCTCTTCAAAAAGCACAACCAGGTTTATTCAAGAGTACATAACTTCACTTAGCAAAATATCAGGCCTGCTGTAAACTCACAGCAAATTTGCTGCAAACTGCAACTCCTTCTTGCAAATTTGCATTAAATTTGCTGCAATATCAGGCCTACCCAACTACCAGACTCGGCACTGAATGATCCTGAATTCACCCGTAGATCAGACCACACTACCCGTTTTCAAGGTGTGTGTCAGATCGCATTACACAGTATCAGATGCGACACCGCTCTTGCCTAGTACGCGATGTGATAGTGACGATTCTCAGCGGGGTTGAAAAGCATTGCATCCCCACTCAAAATTTGTTCAGGGTATGATACTGTGTAATGCGATCTGGCACACACCTTGAAAACGGGTAGTGTGGTCTGATCTACCAGTGAATTCAGGATCATTCGGTGCCGAGTCTGGTAGTTGGGTAGGCCTGAATATGGCTGCAAATCAGCAGCAATAAATTTTTTCTTGCAAACTCCTGCAAACTTGTTGCTGCAAACTTTTCATTTTTCTAAGGGTTCTTCATAGTCTCTGTATGGTTATAGCTATAGATACCGAGATAGAGCAGCATGTGACTCCAGCAGAATAAGGCATTCAATCTGCTAATTAAATTCAATAATATTTATTTCTAAAATTATCTATTTCTCTATATTTTTTGAGAGGCCGAGTATGAGTTATGTGCTGACTTGAAATTCTAGAATTCTGGAACTGGCCAAGTTAATTCTATATCTGAGGCTACTGCATGGTACACTTTCAGTAACACCTACAGTATCATGAAAAGTAAAGGAAAAAATGAGTATAAGCTTTTTAAGGAGGACAATAATTATTTTCAATTTTATTTGTCAAATTGCTGGTTATCTTGAAATCATACATATTAAAAATATATCATATTAATAAACTTAAACCCATAATATTAATTGAATATCTTACATACAGTACGCAAATCCAGCTTACATACTAGTATATTGGAGTGTTCAGATAAACCTATCATGCTAGCTAGAAAGATCCAACTCTGTAGGAGATTCTCTCAAAGTACAATCACTGTAATCGGCTTGAGTGTCTGACAGGATGCCCTCAAGTTGCTATATGGGGCACTTAACCAATTATAACTAGCTATAAACTTAATGTCAGGCGAATCAAACAATAAAGGTGAATATTAGACCCCATTTCCATAGATTTTTAGATCAATCTATCCCTGTGGGGAGTCTCACTAGATTACTGTCAGATTGGCAGGCTTAAGTGTCTGTCCTTGCCTACTAAAAGCTGTAAGGGGGTAATAACTATGGTGCCCGCTCGGCTGACTGCAATTTAGTGTGAACCCCCAGGGAGTTAGGTCAATCTAAAATTTAATCTCTAGATCTATCTAAATCTCTGGGAAAGCACCCTTACACTGAATGTACTTTAATGATAATATCCTGCTGAGTTGGATCAATCCAGCTGCTATATGATGTTAAATTCTGAACTCTGTCACGTGCTACCCCCCCCCCCCACCACCACCACCACCACCACCACCACCACCCACTAGTATGGGCACACGTGCACCCAGCAACAACATCCTATATATATATAATGCCAGTGTTTGCCACTTAGGAAAATTAGTTGCTGGACCGAAAGTACAACCATCTTGAAAAGAAGCTGGATTGAATGTCTGCTGGGTGGAAAAAATTCTCAGCCCGTTCTGAAAGTTGTCAGCCCTGGGCTGACGGTCCAGCCTTAATTTCTAATACTGTATACAATGCGATACATATAATGGCCTACATGAACACTGGTCACTGTGGTGACAACTCAGACACATGACCTGTAAGTAATCAGGGTAAATGACCTGAACCCTTGACCAGCTGACCCCAGTGAGTATACAGAATGATCACTCAGTGAAAGCAACATGCTCTTTTAGAGGACATCTCTAAAATCTTGTCTTATCTAATTCCAATATCAAGAAGAACTGAGATACAAGATGTGTAATCATTTATATAATCACAAAATTTATCACATCTGTAAACTGCAGGGGAATCAAGGACAGAGTTAAACATATATTATATGACATGACCGGCTGGTTGTTATAGTTACATAACTGTATGACATTGAACTTGTTATGATCAGGGCATGCTCTTATGAGGGGGTTGTATGTGCGTCCCTTGAAATGGATTAGATGTATGATGAGCAATTTATATACACTGCCCTGAAGCAGCAGAGAAAGTCAAGTGGTTTAAATGGTATTTTTATGCATTTAAATGTCACAAAAGTTTATACGTTAATGTATGCACAATGCATTGATCCTTTCTGACTTAACTAAGTAAATTTTTGTCTTGCCATGAAATCTTGGAAAAATTCCAACTCTGAATTTCTCATAGAATATTATACAATAAAAATTGTCAACACCTGGTGAAAAAAATGTCCATGAAGACATACAATGGCCAATAATATACTGACATAACACTAAATAAATAAAATGATCATCAAATCAAAGGCGAATGCAGACTAAAGGAACATATATCTCTATCATGAGGAACTTACTTCAAAATATATAACTAATCTTCTGCAATTACACATTTTAAATGAACAAATCTTTAAACTGCTGCATAAATATTTATGAAACTCAAATTCAAATTTTATTTTAAATAATTATTCTTTACTAAAAGCAAGATAAATATCAGATTCATACAACCAATCGAACTTCAACATGACTTCGATCCTACTCTTGAATCGGTTAAGATTGTAGAAAAAAATCTAAAACTTACTTTAATCTTCAAGTTTTTTTTCAATATATCTCATCACAGCATTATAATTAATCAAATTTGTGTCACGTCTACTAAAAATAAACTTTGCACTTAGTTGCGCCTCATGTCTGTCATATATTCTTTGTTGCCTGTGGAAATGGGTCATGACTGGTTAATAATTAACCAATCATTGACAAGTAATCTGTAACAGTATGAAGTAACATCACCTTTGACATATTTTTCTACACACGTGTCACATAATGACATTCAACATGTGAGACAACGTATGTCTGGCAAGCTGTATAAAAAATACAACATTGATGATGTCCTGGTGGTTTCAATTAACTTTATTTTTTTGGTAAAATAAGGGTAGTCAAGATTAATCTCTTCAAAAAAAAAAATAAATAAATAAATAAATAAAAATTTTACTACTGCTGCTGCTCAGTTACTACAACATTCAGTTTAAATTAACTTGTAAAATATAATGCTTTATATCATTAAAACAAATTAAGCATACTGACCATCACAAATATCAAAAAAGGCAACTATAAATTTCTCTGTGCATTTGACATGCTACCTAAAAGGCTACATTACAGGCTTCATCATCAATCAAATACATGAACCATGTACGTATTACTACAATAATATTGTGCCTGGCAGCAGCATGAAACTGGCTGATAAAATTAATAACATGATAACCCAATTATTGTACAGTCAACCTGAATTAAAAGAATTGATTGTGGTCCATTCCACAAGAACACTTTCAACCAAAAGCTGGTTCTAAACTTTATGGCTCTATTCCCATAGATTTTAGATTGATCTATCCCCGCGGGGAGTCTCACTAGATTACTTTCAGATAATCCGACTTAAATGTCTGTCCCGCCTTCCACAAGCTGTAAGGGGGTAATTAACTTTCATGTCCGCCTGGCTGACAGCTATTTAGCGTGAACCCCCAGGGAGTTAGGTCGATCTAAAGTAGGTCGATCTAATCTATGGAAATGGGGTGTTTGACCAAAATTTTAATCCATCCTGTCCACAAAAAAAAAAAAAAAAAAAAAGTCCAGGACATTAGATCAATTAATTATATACTTGAAACAGTGCCAGTTTTATAGCAAGAAGGACATGGGTATATTGATTGTGACCAATAATCCCCAATTTAAATGGACACTTGATTATTATCTGACTCACCTGAACAGCACTGATACCTCACTACCATTTCTTACCAAACCTTCTCTACTGCAAGTGCTGACATAGGAAGACATCTCATAATCCTACAGCAGTATCAGCCTCAGTTTTAATAATTTTTATAATAATTATAATTTGTTCATTTGGTCAACAATTCCCACCATTTCCATCACAGGTTAGACCCTGATTATTCCACACATGACTGCTACTAGTGATATAGTGACAGACGCTGCTATGAGCAACTGATTGATCAAAGTTATCACCTATGATTTGCCCTAGTGATTTGTTCCCTGGCTCAATCCTATCCTTATCCTGGGCCATGTCCTCAGATTACAATACAAATACATCATCCAGGGCCCCATTGGTTATCACAATATGGTGATACATTTCATTGTCTTATCAAGTATTGAACATAGTGATTACTATGCTTGGGGCCATTCCTCACATAATTATGCCATATAGCCTGGATATAAAATGTTCATTACATTTACTCTAGATCTGCACTATTAGAAGTACAGCATTACAAGTACTAGATAGGATCTAATTTTCACAAACAAGAGACATGAAATCATGTGGTTTTTCAGACTCACTGAAGCCTGTTCTCTATTATTAAAGCCATGTCACAAGTTTATTAAACTGCTTTCCTTTTTTTCACATGCTCAAAAAATCAGAGCTCGTATCAGCTGCTTACTATTTATTGCAACATTGCAAGATAACTACCGTGCAAACATCCAACTGTAAGGTATACACTGACATGGAAAGCAATTAAATCTTTTGAGAAAAAAATGACATGACAATATTTAAATGTCTGCAAAGTCATCACTGATTATATATACCAGTTTCTAATCAACAGACACTTTACATTGTATTATGTTCATTAATTAAGTGACTGTAAAGGTGTTAAACTTTCAACAAATATAATATTTGTTTTTTAAATACCTTGCACACTTTTGGTTCTGATATGGGGTTACTTATCACTTGTCCATAATTACTCAGCAAATACAAAGTTAACTTTGTACTTACCAAATTTCTATTCTTTCAAGATTTCTCATTCCTATTTTGCATGCATGATCTCCTGTATCTTTGCCCTCTAGTGACATCCTTCTTAACTACTGAGACATTGACAGTGCCAAAGTCCACCGTTAAACAAACTAGCGCTATATCAGATAACCATATTTGATAAATCCAAAATCATAAAAAAGATAACAATAGTTATGAGTTAGATACCATAAAAGTTAAAGAACAAAAAAAGATTATGTTATAAGTTTATGATAGCATGCAGAATGGAAGGAAGGAAAGAAGGAAGAAAGGAGGAGGGATGGAAGAAGGGAAGACAATAGATATTGAGAGAGAATTAAGGAACAAATTTAAAGAAAGAAAAGGAGAAAGAAAGAGAGATAAAATCAAACAATTCATTTATCTAAATATTTTAACTCACCCAGAGTCCAGCAGAGGGCAGTCCTCGTCCACTCCCAGTGACTCTGGACACACAGGAATGAGGAGTGGACAGTCATTGACCACACCTGGTGGACAGTCCATACAGTCTGGTGGGGGATAGTTCAATGACATCTTTTATGATAATGATTGTGAATGTCTGAGCTTTACATATTGGAGCTGAAAAGAAAAAATACAACAAGCATATGACCTTGATCTCATTTTGTGTTGTTTTCCCTTTAAGACTAACTGTGCTTTTTATCATGCAAAGCACATCTCTGTCTGTCCCATGTACAGACACCTGGTGGCTGGGAAAGATGTGTTTCATGTTACAATAATGATAATTATCTTATTCCTTTCTAGCACAAAGTTTACAGAGCCTATAGATCTATAGCCACATATTTGATTTTGCATGGCACATAATTAGCACAGTCGCATTTATATATATATATATAAAAATCTAAAAATAATAATATGATGATGAAAACTGATAAAAGAAATGACAGCAGAGTCAACTGTTTTTTAAGAAAAAAAGGCAAATAAAGTTATGTCCCATTCCTCTAATTCACATAAAGAGAATCAAACATTTATATTGGCAAAAAAATTTTTTTCTGGAAATTTAAAGAATTTTCATTAATACTCTTCAAAAAATTTGGATAGTTCCTGCTTTGGACCAAGTGATTTCTAAACTCTATAGAGTCAGGAAGAACAAAGCAGACTTTTTTACTAATTTGGCACAGACTGGGCTTTGGACCAAAAGAAACACATTTTAAAAAAAATGTTAAACGAAGACATTTAAGAGCAATTACATATGCACTGTGCCATATAGAAAATAGAAAACACTCTAGCTTCTATTTAAATTATTGTTTTTCTTTTTATCAAGAGCTTATAAAATATGTAGGTTTTACAGTAAAACCTACATATTTTATAAGCTCTTGATAAAAAGAAAAACAATAATTTAAATTGATACATACAGAGCTAATGAAACTCTTCTCTCAACTCTAGCTTCTATTTGTTACTGAGCAGGCCCGTAGCCAAGGGGGGTTCGGGGGGTTCGAAAGAACCACCCTTTTTGCTGGGAAAAGGTCCACTCTGGGTAAAATTTGATCTATGTACTTGAGGATTTTATGGTAAAAGGTCCACTTTTTCAGAAAACGAACCCCCCCTCTGAAATTGCTCGCTACGGAGCTGCTGAGTCCTTAGAAACTTGGCAATATTTGCTTAATCATTAAGTCTTAAATTGTCATCTTGACCAGCAACCTTATACTGCACTGCAGGCTGTATATTTACAGAGTCCTTTACCTCACCCTCTTCAAGTCAACCCCATGTTAAAGATTAACCCTATATATCAGTATGTTAAACATGTAAATACTTATTACAAATTCAAGATGTGGCACAGCCCTCTCTTTAGAATTAAGGACCAGATGTGATGGGACCTTTAAAAATGCATAATGTTACTGACTTCTGACTTAAATACATTTTTAAGTAGCTCTGTATGAGATTTTGAAAATATCTGACATAGTATGACATTTTTTTGTGTATCACGAATGATACTACCTGATTGTATTTGGATTGTATGTACAACACTTAAATCTTCTCTACCACATCATTGCCTTCCAGCTTCTCTAACACAGCCAAAAGAGTCAATCTTATTGTTTCTTGCAGTTTTGACCACAACATCAATTTTCTACTTGTTTGCTATGAAGATTAAAATGTGATTAATATTCATTCCACTCATTCATTTTAACCTTCTTAGCTAGTTTTCAAATTATTCAGAATTAATATTCCATAATGAATAAATGTTAAATTATTTCAAGAACGTTTACCATGAATGCTAAATCACTAAATTCTTTCAAAGGTTCACTAGATAAACATTGGAGTGGATAAGAATGCTTTTTAATTACAAAGCAGAGTTGGAGACCCATACTGTCAGAAAGAGAAGTAATATCAAGTCACTCAACCCAATTAAGCATACAGTGTCAATGGCTACAGGCCTGGATCTCTACCCATTTTTACATTGCATACTGCTATACAACTACTGCAAATAATGGGAATTGAACCTGTGTTGAAATATAACTAAGAACAGCTATAGAAGTACTACATATGGCCAATGCTAATTTCCACAGTCTAGAAAAAGGTGATAGTGAAATTTTTTCAAGGGTAAAATTTCTAGATATTTTTTTAAGTTGGCAAGGGTGGCAAGACCATTGATATGCCATGTATTAGAACAAGGACTTAAGTTTTCACTATAGCATGTCAGATTTTTGTGGAAATTTGGGGAAACACTTTTTTTTGTATTTTTTTACCCCCCCCCCCCTCCCAGTCCTCCTGGTTCTCCATTCAGTCAATGTTAGAAGGTGAAGCTCTACTGATACACTGTGGAAGATACAGTGTATCAATTTGTATTTCCCGTATTGCACGTATATTCCCATATTGCACTTCTGACTCCGTTTTGGCTAAAAAAAAAAAAAAAAAAAAAAGAGACAGACAATAAGTGTCACTAAAACTTAATTCAAGTCTCTAGCTTACCTACAAATAATAATAATAATGTGTGGACTCTATCTAATTCGAGTAAGTTTCACTCCTCTTACAATTCCCATTCAAACCCAACCTGACACCGTAGGTCTACGCATGGAATCTTGCGTTTTGGCAATAATACATTATCTAAGAACTATCTTAAATAACATTTTACCTGTCCCGTCTTCTCTTATAAATCACGTTATTATTATTTCATCCCATTTCTCCCCATAATAAGCTGGCGCAGCACTCAGCTATCCCACAGGTGTTCGTATTTGAGCGCCACCTGGGCGAGGTGCACAACATCCGGTGACGTCATCCAGGTTTGTGCACATCTCCACCAGTTTGGTGACATTTAGGGTGTGACCCGCCACTTTGTGTGAGAAAGAAGTCACTTAACTTTAACATTCCTCTAAAAGAAAGACCCGCGAGGAAGACCTACACCTTTTATTGAAGGTAAGCGTTGGTTTTACAGCCTTAAAAACTTTATTCCAACTTTTAGCGCACCTGTTCAGCATTGTCAACCGGCGACCGCCATTTTTCTTTGAGGTGACAGACGAGGGACATCGTCATTAATGAATGGGTATCATATGATAATTTGACGAGCGTTTATTAAGCCTTAAACGCGTGGCGGATAGTTCATTGTCTATCTAAAGCAAGGATAAAGCACGGTTGCGCTGTTTGTCACAGCGAAGCCAGAGTGTCAATTTAAATTTTTGGATTTCCACTCGAGTGTTTGAAGGAGCAGGGCGAGACGAGATTGGCAAAGGTGAGGGTGAGCGAAGCGAACAAGTGTGTCATTTTCATCCATCATCTTCATACGTTTATACCCTGTATCTGTAACAGCTAGCAGTGGCCCAGCATCGAGCAGCTACATTCAAAGCAATTGATATTGTCGACCCAGACAGTTTGTGTAACGTGAGGAATGTAGCCAATTATTGATTTTTTGTGTTGATTGATTGGTTGGTTGTTTCATGTCCCAGTTGGGTGGACAGCTGCTGGTGTGCCTTGGCATTATCTCCCGAGTCCAGACCCCCTCCTTAAATGTCCTACTTACAGTTATTTAGGGCAAAGTCTGACGCTTATCTCTCTTGCTTTTTTAAAAACATTTACTAGCAAGAGAAGTATGCTAAGGAGAAAATATAGAGGATGGGGGGGGGGGGGGGGGTAGCGACATATTTTATAGTCCATATACCCGCTGGCATTATGTATACTGAATTATTTGTACTCTCCATGGACCATGATATATATGCATTTTATACTGCTCCCTACCCACCCACCCCACCCCCTCAAAGAATAATTATACCTTTTTTTTAAGTATATTATTCTTGATCTAAAAATCATTTATTGTTTACATGTAATATGCACTTGTGGTTTGGCTTGCTTTGTTTTTGTAAGTTGTACATGAATTCCATGAGATCTCAGATTAAGCTAGTCACAGCACAGAACCAGGCACAGCAAGGGCTGATTATAGTGACAGTTGCACAACAATGAATAATTGAATATATCTTCCTGCTGTTCTCTTTGGCTACAGTCTGTAATTACAGCATTGCATAACTTTGTACACGCCCTGTACCAAATTAGTGTCTGGCCACACATATATATGAGGGCGTGGATGTTGATGCTTTTGCCTCACTAATAATGATTCTCTTTGACAGGAGGAATTATATTTTAACTGGTATAATAAGTCCAGTTGTTTTTATTATGTTTAGATGCATAGTGACTTTGTGACACAAAAAAGTATTTTCTTGTTTTCTTATTAGATGAACATCTATAACATTAGTTAGTAGTATTTCAAGAAGTAAACCACACCCAACATGTAGATAAGTGTCCAAGGGTTAACCTTATCAGTGTAGTGAATATGTAGAAATTATAAATGGAATTTTAAACTATTGAAAGTGAAACATGCATGTACCTTCCATTTCTGTATTTATGTTTATATAATGCAAAGTGTATGTGAGGATCACATCCCTGTTCAAACTCTATAACTCTGGTTAACTCTTTAACTCTGTCTTTGCAGTTTGGTTTCATTTTTACTATTAAAAGCACTTATTATCTAATATCAGCTAAGACTGATACCTCCTTTAATGGCCATGTATGTCATAAGAATAATAGAAGCAACTTGTCATGTAAATTTATATGGTTTATGATCATATAAATATGTAATATATTTTCACCTAGAGCTTAATCCAGCAAAAATTTATCACAGTCAAAGAAATGTATGTTTTTGGTCATATTAAGATATTTTATTAAAAGAATATTGATAAAATTGCATTTTTGATTTGCATTTGTCTTCTAACACAAGGTTGTGTCATCATCGTGTCATTTGGGATAAAGTGTAAGTGCTGATACAGACTTGAACCAGAGCTGGTTAGGATCTAAATGACACCACCATATGGCTGCTTAATAAACCTAATAGTAATAATTAGATTATATATATTAATTCGGTATTTAATGTAGTTTTATTCGTGAACCGTTTCATGTACATGTTATTTATGTATATCATATATAAGAGTGACATAATAAGTTTGGTATTCATAATTGAATTAAGAACACTTAAATATTGAAATGTCATAAATCTTTTAAAGCCCTAAACAAGGCAGAGGAGTGATTTTACACGAGACTTGAATGCTTAGGTTGCTGTATTTATATAAATATCACACCCATTGACTGGTGAAAAGCCAGTGTACCCAATGTAAAGAATTCCTAACCTTACGGGTTATATAATCAAGTATAAGCCATTGCACAGGAGAATGTGATTTTATATCACGTGATATTATTAAATATAATGCTAAGTCCACAGGGTCTCAGCAATTGAAATGATGACTAAGATGGCCACTGTGGCTAAAAGTCTGCTCACCTAAAAGTGTTTTAATCTGGAGTTGAAAGTCAGTCTTAACTTTAAAAGACCCAAGTTTGATTTTATTTTATTTTATTATTTTTTTTTTTTGGGGGGGGGGTTAAATTTTTTCAAGGTTGTGGGGTTGGAAGAATTAGGTTGGAGGATGGTGTATCAGGAAAGGCATTAGACATCAGGAAAAGAGTAAAGTGTCTCTAAAATTTGCCAGTCATGTACAGAGTGATTTTTCTTTTGAAGCCATGCATTTTTCATACTACAAACAATATGCTAAAATGCTTTTAAAAGATAATCTTTTATGTTGTTATATTTTATTCATTTGGACCATCCCCATATGTTAATAACATGGAAACTTTGCAGTCATTTTGATTTATGCCAGAAATCCCTCCCAAATCCTGGTCTGACATTTTCTTTGGTCAGCCACAGGTGATATAAACTGATGTGACCCCATGGCCCCTTGTAGCCCAGGTAGGTTGATAGCTCTCTCACTTTACTGCCCTGTCATTACTCTGCTACTGTAGTGATATTATAGAGAGATAACTTGTGTCAAACGATATTAGAATGGTGTTATTCAGAGACCTAGTAATTTTAGCTTCATGATTGTTTTTATTTATTTATGAATTATTTCCTGCCATCCTTTCTTCCTTCCTTTTCTTCTTTCCTTCTTCTCTTCCTTCCTTCCCTCCTTCCTTCCTTCCTTCCTTCCTTTTCTTTCTTCCTTCTTTCCCTTTTCATCCTTTTTTCCCCTCCTTCTTATCTTTCTTTCTTTTATTTATTCATTCATATGTCAGTACTCGCTCACTTATTAATATTTTATTCCCATACCCCGATATTTTAGATAAAAAAGTACAAGTATAAGCCCCAAGGTAAGTCACATACAGGCAGTATGGGCTGCACACACCTGTAGCCCAGCAGTGGATTCTCTCTCAGTTGATTGTTATCTTGGTGAATTGTTCCCTTCAGTGAATCAGGTATCTAGTTCAATGCCCTATCTCAGTCATTGTAGGTGTGGGCCCTTCATGCATGACAGGTATGCTGATAGAGATTACAGGAGGAGTGAAGACTGGAGGTAGGATTGAGAGAGAGAGGGGGGGAGAGGGAGAGATGGAAGGTTATTTGTTGGGGGGGGGGTAGAGAAGAGAGGTAAGAGTAGGAAAGTTTGCAAGAGGGGAGAGAGGAGAGAAAGGGAACTGATGAAGAAGGCAAAAATAAAGAAAGAAGGGTTGTCAGACAGGGAAAAGGTTGGGGGAGAGAGAGATAGAGAGAGAGAGAGAGAGAGAGAGAGAGAGAGAGAGAGGGATGCAGGAGAGGAAGAGCAAAAGGAAGGGAGTACAGTACTTACTATTGAACCTTAGTGAGCAATCACACCACAAATGCACTAGATCTTCTAATGGTTAAATGCAGTTTCATGTTTATTACCAGGCATCAAATATGGTCATCAAAGCCTTTAACCTCAGGCTAATATTTCATTTTTATATCCCAATGGATGTCCATCGTGTTAAGTTGTCTGATTGTCATTTCCACTGTATGCTGCCTGTCATTTCCTTATGGAACTCTCCTACAAGTATTGTATCCTTAAGCTGTATCAAATTTCGAGTTGGATTATCTTTTTTTTTTCTTTTTATGGTGAACCTGGGAGCTGTCAAATTACAAGGGGGTTCAATTCATTTGTAGTGCTTGTGTACGGGATGTTGTTAAAAAAAAGAAAAACCTGAGGAGCATTGCAATGGGTTCAAGGAGTTCAAATCTCAAAATAATTAAAACATTTCTTAAACATCTTCATCACTGAAATATCGTCAGTAAATTGACAAATATTTACTTCCATATCAAAGTTTGATAAAGGAACTTGATGCAAGATTATCCAAGTTACGAAGTAACTATCAAGATTTATTAAAATTCAATTTGATATCTTTCGTAGGTAGGATCCACCATCTTCATCCATATGTCATCATGTAGATGTCGTTGCTATCTCTGTATTAATTAGCTTTCATGAACAATTATCTGCTTAATGTAATGGTGGGACTCTTGAGAGCTGTAATGAATATCAGAACATGACCAGGCATCATCGAAATGTAATTGATTATTTCATTAGCTCTCCCAAACCAGCCCCCCCAAAAAGCCATCAGACCAAAGATAAATACTTGTATGTATTTGAATATACTTGCTCATGAATATAGTTCCAAGAATCTCTTTCTTGTTGATATATTCATACTAAGTGAACTTTGGTTTTTAACACGATGGCTTGATATGGAGAAGACAAATATAATTATCTCGGAACATGCAAGATAAGCGTGTTCAGTAAGCCAGCCGCCCATTACATGCTGTGATGTGAGGAGACTATAAAAATCTTTTGTATTCCTTTATATTATCATTGGCTAAATTTATTTTTATTTTATTTTCTCTTTAATTATTTATGTATTTATTTACTCTTGATATAAGAGAGCTTCAAAGAAGGCAAACAAAATTTTATTGATCTCTGAACAATTGTCCATTTTATTCGTAGTAAGTACTAGTACATACTTTATGTTTATGTCTGTTTTTGAAATTGAGATGAAAAATCAGAATTCTATCATTGACTGGCACTAGTACAACCTTCTCAAATGCAACATGCTGTTATCATGTGTCAGAATGATAGAACATCTTAATTTCCGCCATGAAGGCCAGGGATTTAATAGGACTTTTTTCCAACCTCCAGGAGTCACGATGAATCTAACACCAGGAAATTACTGGCTATACATCGTGTTTATTTCTGATGAGTCCCCATTGAAGCTTTCCAGGCACTCTTTGAACTGGGGGTTTAGCAGTAGTGTGATTGGTATTATTTTTTTACTGTGCGTGCATCTCATGTCTGCATGCACATGTGCACACGTGTGCACACAAACACACACACACACACACACAAGCACACTTAAGGGGCCATAGGCTGCTAGCAGCTAAATAAACAAATTCAATAACTCACATATTTATGATTATCCCATTTATTTTGCAGTGCACTGTTCAGCATCATAGGACCCCACAGTATTAGTGCACTAGAGATTATATAAATGTATTTTACATTTTAGAATATAGGTCAGTTGATATCTGCATATACATATATCCACGTGGATAATCTCTTGGCTCATGCAAAGTGGCTATTTTGCAGATGTCTGTCCAGTGTGTACATGTAATAGTAGTTACTAGGGACCAGTCAGTATGTATGGATCTCTAGGGTGACAATATTTTTGTTGTGTACAGCGTAAGTTTTCGTAGTATTTCTACCTTACACTGACATTCTGTATGGGACTGTGCTACTTAACTAGTACAGAAATTGTTGATAGCCTCTGGCATTGGGCAGGTTAATATCAGATTTATAAGTCTGGTGATTATGTGGTTCTCAAAGCTTTAGTTTGATTGAGGGTGTATTAGATTTTTTTTACCACTTCTTTGACATGAAGCTGGTTTAGGTTAATTTTCTGGGAGGAAAAAGCAAACATTTCTATTCCCAGAAGTGTAAGGACCGACTGGTGTATCATGGTGGACAGAAGGAACGTCTTTGTAAGAGGGGGGAGGCTGGAGTAGCGCTAGCACTCGCCAATTTAGCCAAATGCTAAAACTGACTTAAATTGGCTAAAGAAAAGGGGCTTGATTTGACATGTTTTAGCCAAATTATAACCATTTTGGTAACAAATTGACAAAAATGTGGTGATTTGGCTAAGCGAAAAAAATTGCTAGCGCTACCCCAGGGAGGCCTAAGTAGAAATTTAGTATTGTTTCAATATAACAGAATCCACTAAGACTGGGTTCCCATGCCAAATCAACTAGGGGGTAAAGATCCGTAATTACCCCCTAACAGCTTTACTAGGCGTGATAGACATTTAAGCCAGTTAAGTTGTTTGCAATATGGTGCGAATCCCCAGGGAGATAGATTGATCCAAATAGCTGTGGGAATGGTCCCTAAGAGAAGATCTATCAGACATGAACTTTTTTTTTTTCTGTAGAATCATAGAATAGCAAGATTTTATATTGGAATCAATTCTAATAGTGCCTTAGGCATGCTGTAGACTCTACTGCTAGTTATCCAGTGTTTTGTCCCACAAAAAGAGTTCAGAGATTTGTTTTATCTTTGATCAAAAGACTGCAGATTTAAGTTATAAATTTCTTTTTTTTTTTCTGCCATCTGAATAACACACAATGGATAGGAATATTTATATCACAGAAATCATTGATCATGTCCTCATCAAAAGGTCAGTTATTCCTGAAGTGGGTTGAAAGGAAAGCTGTTGTGTGACATCCTAGAATTTTCTCTGAACAGATCGTAGTTGAGTGAAAGAGCTCGTATGTTATTTGTTAGAGGAGGAAACTGGTTAGGATTTCTTGAATCAGTCAAATTTACTGTAGAAATTTTCATTAAAAAGGCTGTTGTTGGGGTACCATTTACTGGAAATCTTGATAACTGAACAGCTTATTGGTTCATTTCCAAGGCTCTGTTTCAAATGAAAGGTAGATACAGAACAATTACATTGATGGAGAATGACAATGTAACAACAATGAGAAGCTAAGAATTATTAGTGATTCTCTGGAACGCTTCTGGCTACATTCACGTAGTCACTTTATTACCAGCAGATATCAGTGCCTTTAAATTATAAAGAAAGCCCTTAATTATTTATTCATAAATCAATGAATTTATTTATATTTTTTGCATGCAAACATACCAGGCCATGAAATACCATGATCTGTCTTTATGCTTTAAATATAAATTGAAACCTGACCAGTTTACAAAGTGGTAACTGCACCAAAAAAAAAAGTTAATTTACAATGGACAACTGCAGAGGTGTGGTGAATATATTTTATTGATTCAATATCTAACAGCTGGTTGATTTTGACAGTGTTTGAATGATAGTAAGCTGTCACGATAACCAAACATTATTTTACTCTTAGATTTATCCATGATAGATTTTAGCTAAATCATGAAGTGCCAAATATAGTTACTGTTATATTAAATATGTCATAGTGAATATTACTACAGCACTGAGTGTGTCAGTACTGCCTCATAATTTATAGCACTGGTATTCCTTTGTTATTGTGCACACTGAGTACAAATGGGAGGGAACTCTGCCCAGTCTAAAAAACAGAGCAGGTTTTATTATAGATGTTTTATATTACGATAACGATTTTTAGGTGGTACAAGCTTCATAATGGGCGTGACATGCCCGCCCCCATGTCTAAATATAGAACCATACAGCATATTATGCAGCGAAATGTATAAATTGAGGGGAAGAGTAGTCCTTTGTTATTTGCCTGCCACAGCAGTAGGTAACAATATAGCTTATGTTATTGATTGTGTTCAGTCGTGGGTTGCCCACTCAGTATAAAGGGTGGGGTCCATTTCAGGATGAATTTTATTTCTTCTTAACTGTCTCAAGTTTTAAGTTTTTAATGAAATTTTGACTTTTTTTAATCAGTCTAAGACAGTTTGACAAAGAAGGGATCAAATTTAAATAGTTTTATTTTGACAAAATGGATGATTAAGATTGAAGAAGAGAAATTTATTGAGTGGGATCGAATGGTAGGGCTCCATTGTTATGTGTCAGGCAGAATTTTTGTTGTAAAGAAGTAGATTTGTACAGTAAAAAAAAACAGGTAACATTACAAAGGCAAAAAAGGGAGGGGTGTGCTTATAACCTGTGGCCATATAATTATCTGAAGATGAACAGGTGAAAATATGAGATATGACTGAACTAAATGTTGACACTCATTCAGTGGCCTATAGGTAAGGGCCTGTTGAATATGCCTTATGTTGAGTAAGGTGCACAAGTAAATAGTGTTGTGTGGATGAAGACTCAGAAAAAGATGTGATTTTAGTTTAAGTTCTAGTAAATAGTTCTGTGTGGATGAAGACTCAGAAAAAGATGTGATTTTAGTTTAAATACAGTGTACTCAGCTGTTTGAACACTTTTATTTGGCAGTTGGAAGATTTTGATACAGATAAGCTTGAAAATTAACAGCATTTTAAAACTCCGTGAAATGCTATGATGATGTGTGATATTTGATAATATTTACCTAAAACAGCAATTACTAAACTTAGTAAAAAAAAGTTAATTTCAGTATATGTCATGTCAGGCGTGCCTAGGCTAGTAAACTTGTATCTGAGGTGAAGATTTGGGGGGGCTAAGTTTTCAGGGCCCCGTAACTCGAAGGCATCATGCATTGCGACCGAGCGCAAGCATCTCAATTCCATAACTCGCCCATACTCGTCCCATATAATACATTGTAGCCTCTGTGTGATATGGCTATTCGCAATACGCCATGCTTTCGAGTTACAGAGCCCAGTTTTACTAGCATTTGGCATGGGGCCAGTGGTTAAAAAAAAAAAAAAAAAAAACTTGTTCTTTGATATTAAAGGGAGCAAGTTTCAAGCAAACAATGTTATTTAAAGCACACAGCTTCATTATCTTCCCATCTGCATATACACAATACCAGCAAGCTGGTGTGTGGGAACATGTTTTACAAGTGCCCCCAGCATTCTAATTATTACAAGGCTACAAGGATCTACAATACTCTGCTTGTTATGTGTTTTTTTGGATTATGTCAGCTGTTTCTTTATACATTGAGAGATTGATTGTTTTATGAGCTGCGTGTTATAAACTTCCTTGTGCAGTATTTGGGTTTTGGAGCTGATAAGATATCAGCATGCAACATTAACACAGTTTACAGCCAAAGGGTTATTTGTCTAAATAAAACTGTAGTTGAGCAATGAAAATTTTTCTTAATGTCTTTAATTGCTGGACGCTATGTCTGCTTTTTGCTTCAAAAATTGTTAGATTCTGGTTATCTAAAGGTCCACTGGGGTACATTGGAGGTGGAATTATTATTATTTTTTATTTATTGTTATTATTATTATTATTATTTTTTTTTTTTGACATGTATGATTTGTGTGCCATGGTTTATTGTTAAAGTTCATTGCCCCTTTTACTGGCTTATTTAAGAGTTTCTCTTTTTCACACACACACACACACACACACACATACACACACACACACACACACACACACACACCAGGCTGCATATAGTCAGATATTAATTTTATTATATCCAAGTGACATCCATGTACAGATAGGGATAAATATGACTTCTGTGGCAGGGTGTGGCGGATAGGCGTGTGTGAAGATTTGTCGTCTCAGTTTGCTCTGTACACACTCCATGAGTGACTAATCACCAGCACGCACTGGTGTGTGGCTGCCGTCGTAACCGTCAGATGCCTGGGGAGGCGTAACCATAATATGTACTGAACAAGGTGTTTGTTTGCTCTTTATATTATAGATGATGAAGTAATGGTTGATACCTTGGTCTGTCCTCGTCACTTTTGGTAGGTCAGACTTTGTGACGTAGTTTTCAGACTGGGGGTAGCGTTAGCAATTTTTTTCACTTAGCCAAATCATCACATTTTTGTCAATTTGTTATCAAAATGGTTATAATTTGGCTATAACATGTCAAATCAAGCCCTTTTTCTTTAGCCAATTTAAGGCAGTTTTAGCATTTGGCTAAATTGGCGAGTCTTAGCGCTACCCCAGTCAGTGTTTACCAGCAGTGCAGATATACAGGTCTATAGGCCGTGGAATTCATCTTCTTCATCTTTTGACATTATGCAAAACAAGGCCATTTCTGCCACAGTTTCTTACTAAAGGTTGTTGATTTGTCAGTTATGGTAGTTTTTAATCCCTGTCCCTGCTCCTTCTTGCTAACCACCGAGTCCAGGAAAGGTATGACTTCATGATAAGTATGTTGACATATTTTGCTGCAGTTTACACATAGTTTGATCATAAACCTGTATGGGAGATAAGTACTGTAGGTATATGACACAAGACAAGGAGTGTGCCTTGTTCCAATACAGCTACTGACTTTGTCTGCTCTACTGGTAGACTCTGCTCATAGTAGGATCCTGGACAACAGTATCTTGAGGTAGAGTGTCCTACCCTAATCCCTGTGTGTGTGCGTGTGCGTGCGTGCGTGCGTGTTTGGGGGGGGGTAGCACAGTCACATCTATGACAGGACTTTTTTAAAATCTTTTTATTTGGGCATTATTTTGCCAAAATGTTGAAACCATGCATTTACTATTTCGTATTCCACTTCTTCAGAGGTAAATCACTTAGTTAGTAGTGGCAACAAGTTGTTAGATCTTAACATAATGCATATTGCTTCCAAATTTCATGCCAACTAAAGTTAAAGGTTATATAAATGAGTAACTTCAAAAGAATATTACCTTTGAAAGGTAAGGGGATCATGTTAATATCAAATTATCTTTTCCTTAAAACTACCCCCCCTTCCTCCCCTACACTTTAATTAAAATTGCAAGCGAAAGAAATTAACCATATGATTTATACTGCAGCTGCAATGATAATTAAAAGAGCCAGCACTGTGGAAAGTAATACCCCTCCTTCTCTCTCTTTTCTGCATATTTTATTTCATTACAGCTACTCACCTAAAAGAAAAACCCAGTTACAATCACACGAAAGAACACAGATATGTTTCATTTGTAAAGCGTGTCTTATGTAAGAGTAATATTTACGTTTCTGCTTTACAGAAAGGAGAACTATGCCTTTAGAACGTTGAGGACGACTTCACATTGCAAAGGACAATTCACAAGGGGGTGACCCACAAAGATGGTGATTTTAGCAAAGGTGAGGACCGTGTTTTGTGTCAATTTAAATACTTGAAATGTCCTGTTATGATTTGTGTTTGCATTTGGTGGTATTTATATTTGCATTTGGTTACTAGTAGCCGTGTTTCAAAAATGTCAGTTCTTGTCATTCAACAAACTTACTATAAAGATATTTGTTTTTCACTATAGAAAATGGATAGTTTGTGACTTATAGTGTGCAATTTATCAGTATAATTGCTCCCATATGTGATCTTATGGAATGACTTTAAATTCTATTGATTCCAATTAACTGATGTTGGGTTAAGATCAGCACTGTTTAACACTAGTGTGATGCTATGAATGATTGAGAGAGAATGTCTCGTTATTTTGCAAGAACCGTCGGTAATGTTTTTTTAATGCTTAATTGATCTTTGGACTGTAATTAATTGATATCTTATTTAAGGTTGTGTTGAATTAGGTTATAATTTCTTGTTCAGGGTCAGGATTGCCTTTGAGCCTTTTTCATTGATATTCTCATTTTAAATTCCAGCTGTCTGAGTCTCTCTCTCTCTCTCTCTTTCTCTCTCTCTCTCTCTCATACACTTCATTACTTGCCCATTTCATTTTTACCACAGCATATGGTAATAATACAGTTTTTATCACACCATGTTGTAATCTTACATATTTAAAACTGGTTGGACCATAAATCATAAATTAAAACATGACGCATTTCATGCATGTCCAACTTACTGTAATAACTCGTAAATCAAATAAAATTTTAGTGATAATTGAAATGATAATGATTGAATAAAAGTACCAAATACACTTACCAGTAAGCTAGTGCAGGGATTAAACTGCATATGGAATTTCATATTAACGTAATAACCTTTACTTCATGTCTTTTACATCATGTAGAACAGGTCTTAAAATGTACATTAATATAGTTACACAATAGTTCTAGAGCCTATGAATTTTCTAGTACTAGTAAGCACATTTAGTGCTAGCTAAAAAATATTAGTATAATTAATACTTGTTGTTGTATTTGTTATTATTACTTTTATTATTATTATTATTATTATTATTATTATTCTCCCCAGGGGGACCATATCTGGTTGGACCCAGACCCTAATTATTATTCTTGGAATTATTGGAACTCTATATGTTGCATGTTAAAACAAGAACAGATAATTTACTAGTACCTACCTGTTGAGTAAATTATTATTATTATTATTATTATTATTATTATTATTATTATTATTCTCCCCAGGGAGACCACATCTGGTTGGACCCAGACCCTAAGACCAAAGGGGAGTTTGAGGTGGCGGTGGGGGCAGTTGTACGCATTTCGGACTCGGGGAAGATTTGCGTCGTGGACGACGATGGCAAGGTGAGGGCAAGGGTTTTGTTGACAGTGAAGAAATGGAAGTGTTTTTGTTTTTGAATTCACTCTTAGTTTTTAAAGAAGTCAAGAGGTATGTTACCAGTCAGGGATGAGATTTTTCCAACCATCGGCAGATTTCTGGCTTTTTGGGATCTAAAATACATGTATCATTGGCAGTTGTGAGATTTTTCAGACTTTTGGCTAATTTTCGGACTTTTTTGGTAGTTAAAAAGGCTCAAACCTGACTAATGTTTGTTTGCCTCATCAGCCATGCTGCTTGCTTTAAACCACACCTTACTTACAAGCGTAATTAAAACCTTAAAGCAAAAAAAAAAGAAGAAAAAAAAAAATCCCTCATATGTCAAAAGGAGAGAAGATACCAAGATACAAGACCTAATTACCAGCAGTTTGCTCTCCACTTACTTGTACCTAGGTGGATGTCAACTAGGTGATACAGGTGACATTTGTCAACCAGGGCATCTTGGACAGATGACAATTTAGGGTGACAACTTACGCAGCATTCTCCATTAAAGGGCAGCAGAGGGCATCAGTGCTTACAGATTTAATTGCTGTTCTTGGAAGAATTATGGCTGTAATATCAACTAGTCTGTAATGACCTTAAAAATTACACAAGACACTTAAGAACTCATTATTTAGTTTTGATTTGAGTGGGTTTGGAAAGAGGGGAGATAAAGCCACTGGCCAAACATTATAATATGTGTCGGGTTCCTGGAACTTATTGATGTGCTTGAGACTTCTCTACTGTTCACATTATTTCATCACTTGAATGATGAAGATATTATTCTCGGAATTATTGGTACTCTATATGTTGCATGTTAAAACAAGAACAGATAATTTACCTACCTGTTGAGTAGGTGTCCCCTTGCATCCTTAAACTGAATACTTTCATCATAAAATGTTGGTAAAACACACACAACCCGACGTTGTTTCAATCCACAGTTTGTTTACCTTAAATTTCCTTAGGTTGCTAGGTCCCATCAAGTTTAAAGGCAATTTCTTTGAAATGATTCGGTATCATTCAGGTTGAAGGTTAGACTTGTCAACTCCAATATAACCATGATGTTAAAAGTATCACAAAGATCTGTATATACTTCATGGCAGTTTTTTCTCTCAGTAAAAAAAATAAAATTAAGAACAGATTCATTCACTTGCATGGTCCAGTGTATCTCCAAATGGTGATTGCCAAGGTGTGATTAAAAAACTGTAGAAACTTGTTGAATTCCCCCAAGTTCCGGAATGTTAATTAATATCCGCTGTTATCGAAAGTGCTAGTTTCTTGACTACAGTCACCAGCTAGAACGGAGCTGGTGGGGGACATGCAATCTCCAAATTCGTTTCCATGGCAATCACTTTTTCTCGCTCCCCTGGGGCAGTCCCAAACAAGATTACTTGGAATATATATTTTGTGCAACGGAGAGAGGTCACTCTTTCCTAAGAACTTGAACTGGAAGCTGTTAGAAGAAGTCAAGAGACTTTTTTTTCTTGGATGTACTTGCAATCCCAAAAGTCTGAGGGCACTTGGTTTGGAAACAGTTTGGATACTGTTAACACAAGGATGGACTATTTCAGCATTGGAGTGTAAGCTATTAGAAGAGAAATTATCCCAGGAACTCCTTCTGAGCAATTTTTATCTACCAGGAAAGCTGGAAGAGGCAGCGTCAGAGGAATTCTTATAGCAGTTTCCCAAATTTGGTCACCATTTTAACAGAAGTTATGCAGGATGGATGTGCATACAATTTATGTCAACCACTATCCATCGTAGTTTAGGAATTCATTCAGTGCCCTTCAAGAAAGAATTAACACTTTGAAAATAATTTAAACAGTGACTTTGCCTAGTTCAAGATTGAGATTATTTGCCTTTATCCTGGATTGCCTTGGATGTTTTTATACCAAACTAATATGTCACATATCATCTAGAAGGATCTATGCAGTGAAATTTTACTCGAGTCCTTGCCAAATAAAAGGGGGCAGCAGGCTTGTAGCCAACTATTAGTATTTCATAGAGGAGAGTTCTCACCTTAAAAATAAATGAACCTTGAAAAATGGAATAAATCCCAGATCAAATTTTGATGCAGAGCAGACCTTTATTTAAAACACCCCCAGCCCCTGCCCACAAAACTGGGTAAACAGTTGTTCAGTTTTCATGAAATGTATGGGTCTGTATGGGCCATGTAGATACCATTATTGGTGGCCAAAAGACAAAACATTCCCCATTCAACTTCCTGTCTTGTCCTGTATAGTATCTACCCACTAGCTTTCATCTTGAGGTCAGCTGAAACCCTCGCCTCACCATGTTTCGCATGCCAATGGATTGGCAGCCGGGACCCCATGGGAAACCCCCGCTGCCCAAACCGCGGAAATCCAAAGAAAAGGAAGTTTTTGCGCCATGTTTGTTTGAGTACGACTCCAAGCACGGCTGCATGCAGAGGTGCAGGATTTGCACCCGTATGAAATTCAGGGAAACCTGGGTTGGTATCAAGGATGGGTTTCTGGAAAATTCAGGGAATATTTTTTCAGTCCTAGAATATCCCCAAGTTGTACATACTCTGCAGCATGAAACAACGGATTTGTATATTTTAGCATGCCTGGCACAAGATAACAGAATAAAATTGTTGTGAATCAGTGATAGTTCCTTGTAAGGGAGTGAAATAGTAAAATAAAAATTTCTCAACTTGGCAAACTGTGTAGTAATAACTTAATTCTTAGGTTTAATGAATACGTGCATCTAAACCCAATGTGTGTATCAGGCATGTAGTGCAACTCTAAAAATTAATTTTATTACTTCATACTTAATTGACAATTATCGCATTATCTTATTAGGAACACTGGATTAAAACAATTATCTCATTATCTTATTAGGAACACTGGATTAAAGCAGGACAGAAAGTCCGTCACATGCACGCGACATCGGTGGAAGGCGTTGAAGACATGATTGCCCTTGGTGACCTTCACGAAGAGGCCATTCTTAGAAACCTGTTCACAAGATATCAGCAAAATATGATATATGTAAGTATGCATTTCAACTGTGGTTCCCATTACTTTTAATATGACAATTTGTTTCAGTTCAAGTTGAATGTTTGACGTTTTTTTTCTTGTTGGTTTTCTATATTTCTGCAGTAAGGCCACCAAGCTTTTTCTTCCTACTTACAACCCAAAATCATGTCTCAAATCTACATTATTGCCAATTTAATGTGAACAAGGTTTGACATCTTCTAAGACAACCAGAGCAGTTAGAGTGTTTCAGCATGCAAAAAAGGTACACAGTGCAGTTTTAAATGCTTTCTGTTTTGAAGCCACAAGAATGGGTTGATTAGTGCAGATCTAAGAGAGCTTATTGTTCAGTATGGAACTGGCTTATTAAATGTTGAAAAATGTAAGGAAGAGGTATTTTTATTATGAACTAAAAAATTCACCTTTTACAGCATTATAGCTCTTAAAAGAGGATGGTTCTTTTTTTCATTTTGCTAGAAAATTTGATATCTTTCCCTTTTTTTTGCCTTGTTAGAATAGAAAGGAATTTCTGTCCTTTCTACTTGGGAATTCAGGTGTATAGAATTTCAAGGATTCCCCAGTCTTCCTACAAAGGCACATTGCTTAAACATATATAGAAGATTACTTAGGAGCAACAGCTTTATCATGCTCTACTGAGTTTAACACAAAGATTATATTCAGCACTAATAGATAATAGATATTCACCATAAGGATGTGTTTGCTCATGCAGAATGATAGTAACGGGGATAACTATTTAGATCCTCACTGCGGATGCCCTGGATATCTTTTGGTGTGTAGAAAAATTCAGATTAATATTTAATAAGATGGTTGTAAGAACTGCATGGAATAATCACCTGGTTGAATGTCATTCATCAAGCTTGCACTAAATGCCTGGAGAGAATGAACTGACTGGTGGGTTTGATTGACTGTCTGAATGATAAGGATATATTTGATATAGATATTTGCGTTGTATGATAACACTTACTCCCACCCACTAAAAATTAACTGCATAATTTCAGAATAATATTCCTCCTCAAAAGTGAAATTGAAGAGACTATTCAGAATATTCAGTGGCGGTGTAGATTGCCCCTGCCTCCCCCCCCCCCCACTTCCCTCCACTTTTTCCCCTACCCTTCAGTTATCCGTATCACCAATTTCAGTCTTGTGCCCCTCCCTCTCCCTCTCCCATATGTCACTATATCCAACCCCTGCCCTCCCCCGTCCCTCTCAATTCAACTCCCCCCCTCCATTGCCTACAATACCAATTAATGTCCCATGCCCCCCCCCCCCTTCTCCACCCACAAATCACTACATCCATCCCCTTTCCCTCCCCTTCCTCCTCTCCCCGCCTATTTCATTGTCTATAACCCCTGGGGCTGATTTATTATATCCTGTGAACATTGATGTTCTCTCCAAGGCAACATGATACGTGGACATTTTATATCTGGTATTATAGAGAACTGATTTCTACATGGTTTTATATAATTGACTTGTCCTTGAATACAATTTTACGTGTACAGATTTGAGTACTTGATCAAGTGTACTTTTTATGACCAGGAATATGTGGGTTCATTAATGTAACACATAAAAGACAATTACATTGCAGACTTGTTCCTATGATTATAAATGAAGAAATATTGCTTGAAAGGAGAATAGTATGCACATTTACAATATACTTAAGATGCAGCCAAGCTTTGTAAGTGCAGTCAAGTCTTGTTAACCAGTACTCTCACCTCTGAGACCATACAGTGTGATATATAATTACTAGTACAGAGGTCAGGTGCCCTGGTACCAGCTGACCAAGAGATGTGACCCCAGGGCAGTGGCAGGTGACTTAATGACTGGGTCCAGACTGGTCACGGAAGGGGGTGTGGTCCCAGGGTCATTTCACTGACCGGGTCATTGAGTCCAGTCTGGGTGCAGGCCTATAGGCTGGGGGGGGGGGTATGACAAGCCACCCATTTTGACATGAAAAGGTCCACTCTGGGTACAAGTGATCTAGTAACAAGGAAGTTACAGAAAGTTTCATGGTGAAAGGTCTACTTTTATCCAGAAAAAAAATCCACCATTGACATTGCTGGCTAAAACCCAGACCCAGTTCTGAGATGTACAATTCCAGCAATAATGTTGCATAATGATGCTTTAGCCAGTGCTTGAGATTATTAAATTTCATTGCTTCGATAAGCTTGATATCTATCTGATACACAACCACAGCAGTAAAGCTGTGCACTGATGTTGTAACATGTACTTAAGATAATTGAACCACTTTGTCTTATCCTAATTGTTATAAGTGGATAAGAGCATTAGGTTAGTGTTATTATACTGTGATTCAGCTACTGGGATCAGTGTTTGTGATATATAATCTGATGAAATTGACCGATCAAACCTCCTTCATCTAATTAAGTGATTAGAATCCAATTTAGGCAATCTTTTGTGATAATGACTGTTGTAGCTGCTATCAGGTTTAGATGTGGAAATACTAGTACTGCTATTTATACAGTAGCACTGTTTTAATGTCAACAGTACCTTTTTTTTTGCAATTACACTAGTGGAATGCTCAACAAAAATTGTTATGCATGTCATGTAATTTGAAATTCTCTACGGACATCTTATAATCAATGACATCACTTATTTAATCTTGGTAAGGAAATTAAACATCTACTTGACTAGGTAACAGTCTAAAAAAATAACGAAAATAAATTTACATTTTGTTCATATTTCTTGACCTGGTAATTGAAATACACAACTTATTTTCAGATTTGAGGGAAAGGTGATTTGATACCTCTTGGTGCAACATATCAAATCCTCCTCCCATATTTTTCTAATGGTGCACAGCACAATTATGACTTTCTAAGCCTCAATTTTCAGATTGTTTCTGTCCTATTCACATTTGTTTACATCCTGACACAAGATTCCATCTTATGGCATTGAATTGATTCCATGATTCCCATCAATATAATTATGCATTCTAATAGTAAAAGTACACAGAAATACTATTTCTCTCCAGCCATACACAGGTTCTTTCATGGTAGCAGTGAACCCCAACCAGGTGCTTCTAAAATTCCAGTATATATTCATTTAATTTTAATGCTAATACTATATATAAATCTCATTTTTATCTCCAGACATACACAGGTTCCATCCTGGTAGCAGTAAACCCCTACCAAGTGCTCCCTATCTACCACAGTGAACAGATCAAGGCATACAGGGACAGGAAGATAGGAGAGCTGCCACCACATATATTTGCTATAGGAGACAATGCTTACCACAGTATGATGAGATATAGGCATGACCAGTGTGTGATTATCAGGTGAGAACAAAAAAAAAATAATAATAATGAATAAATGCATAATAAGAGAGGGGAAAAAAGAAGAAATGTTTTTGTGCCATTTAAAGGAAGAATGTGTCCTGACACACAAAAATGCCAAAGAAAAATTTTATCAAAAAGCAAAAAAAAAAAAAAAAAAAAAAAAAAAAAAATTTGATTGAAGAAGCTATGTTTTAGGAACACAGAAGATGACTGATAAAATACTTTACTAGATGGAAGAAAAATAGAATTTGTAATTGGAGACTTTTCATGTCAGTTTGTTTTAAAAGGACCATTTTGTGCTATTTTTCACCATGACATCTTGTAACTATTCCAGTGGAGAGTCTGGCGCTGGTAAAACAGAGAGTACCAAGTTAATCCTTCAGTTTCTGGCCGCGGTCAGTGGTCAGCACTCTTGGATAGAGCAACAGATTCTGGAGGCTAACCCTATCATGGAAGGTATTATACTCGTAGCATAGGTGGGATTGTGAACACGCATGCATGCACGCTCATGTACACTTACATTTTAAGAAATGGTTGGTGCTTGAAAGAATTTATCTGAATTACTGCTAGGCAGAAATGGCAAATTGCCATTGTGTTCGTTTGTGTGTTATAATAATAATAATAATTGTTATAAATTTTGTGTTGAAAAAAAAATTTGAAATAAATGCAGTGAACAGAAGAATATTTATAGGTGTTGTCTGTTCTATGTTTTACAAAAAAAGCAGCCTGTCTTTACAAGTAGCAACATATATGTCATTATGATAGAAAGATACTAAATCAAATCATAATTTATTGTTGCAGCCTTTGGAAATGCCAAGACAATACGTAACGACAACTCTAGTCGCTTTGGCAAGTACATAGACATTCACTTCAACAGCAAAGGCTCTATAGAAGGTGCCAAGATAGAACAGTATTTACTGGAGAAATCAAGGATTGTCAATCAGGTGAACAACAGGACTGTAATAATGATTATTATTGATATGAAATTGTTATTCTGTAGTAATGATTATTTTTTAAATGAAGTTGTTATTCTGTAGTAATGATTATTTTTTAAATGAAGTTGTTATTTTTGGTATTAATTTATTATTTATTTATGCATTTTTGTTGATGAAAATATCTGCTTGAGATTGTTATCCATACCATTGTAACTTGAGAATATGGCAGTTTTTTTTTCTTAATAAGCTTACTTCAATTTCACTTGATCATAACCTTTTTTTTTTTTGTATTGACCATAAGTTTTTTCTATTGACTTTCGCCTTGTCATGTTGACCTTAACCTCATGTTGACCTTAACCTTACTTGACCTTCACCTTGACCTTTCAGGCCCATGATGAAAGGAACTACCACATATTCTACTGCATGCTGGCAGGCATGACCAAACAGCAAATGGCAGAGTTGGAGCTAAAGGATGCCACACACTATTACTACTTGGTTCAGGTAACTTGAAACTGTCATTAGGACTTAACAGTTTGCTTTGTTTTATATTAGATTGCACAAATTGTGGTAACTCTCTGGAATCTTAAAACATTAGAAATTTTTGTTGATCCAACTCCATTTATGTGGAGAATTATAGAATCAGCTTCTATTCTGTAAATCTTTATGAAAAAGTTCCAAAAGAGAATTTATAGAAGAAGCAGTTTATCTTTTTTAATTTGTCTATGAGTAGAGATTTGTTGTAGTTTTGTTTGTTTGTTTTTTGTCACAAATTTCCTTTTCAGGTGTCCAAATCTGAAGCCTAAATGAATTTGTTGATATTTGCATTTCACAGAAGTTCCTAGTTTGCTTAATAACTTTTCTTTTAGCTTTTTCATTGCTGGTAAATTTTAACTTACTTGTCTACAAAACAATAAAATAACAAAGTAAAATTAATTGCACATTATCTTTGAAAAACTTTAACTTTTTTATTCCGTCTCAAAGTAGTTGACCTTTGATCACTATTTTTGCACAGCGCGTCTTACAGCTGCACATAACATATTGCCCTAGTTAATGACCAATCACTTTCTTCTTTTCTTCAAGGACCCATCCAAGGTAACAACAGGCTGATGCTACTTCTTTGACCTATATTCTTACCCTTTGAACTTTGAACTTTACCCTTGACCTATTTGCCCATATATGGTGATGTATTGCTTGGCTGGACCCTGATAGTGTGTGGAATTGCATTTGCTCAAATGAGTTAGGTGTTCGTTGGGGATACCGTGTACTAATGATTGCGTTGAATGTTATGATACGAGTTGAAGAATGGTACTTATCTTATGCACCAGTGCTCACATATAACACTAATATAATTGATCATGGCTGATAAAATAAAGAATTTAAATTTTAGATCTTTACATGTATTTTTTTTTTTTTTTTTATTTTTTTTTTACATATTTTTTGCACAGAAAGTCAATTCATATCAACTTCCGTGGTCAATTCCATGTCATATTTTTCAGCCGTGATCCTAACCTTCATTGTCCATATTCAGGGTTTCCCATTGGTTTCCAGGGGCAAGTCTTAATTTTTATGAGGTCACAGTAGAAAATAGATGAAATTAGGTCAAATATGCATACTCATGGCATGGTTGGTCATAGTGGGAACCCTGATATGCATGATGAAATGTAAAGCTCACTTGCTTGAAGCTTGATGAAACACCTTATGAATTTTGAACTGCAGCAGCTCACTCCTCACTAAGATATCATTTGATGATGTGATGGCCTGAAGATGAAGAACTGTCATGAATGGACTCTCCGTTTGCACTGATTTTAAGATAGGAGTTGCACAATTCAGAAAATTCCTCCCTTGATTTTGATTTTTGGCAATTTCATTGTTTGAAATTTGGAATGCTACTTGCATGGCCTATTTTCCACTATACTTGTGTTTTCATTTGGTTGTTGTCAAATGCAAAACCATATTACTGTTGCAGTTATGTTAAGTTTGCAATGCAAGTTGCTTGAACATGCACTCCATTTCATTTTTCCAATTAGTAAATTGACTGTCCCTATTTTTTCACTTAATTGATAGGGCAGTACTGTAACTTGAAAAAGTACAAGTTTTTTTTTTTTTTTTGCTGTATAGAAACCTTTCATGCCATCAGTTATTGTTAGCAGACAATGAACATAAGGCAGAAAAATTGGGGGTTAAGTCTTCTTACACCATTGCAAATAACAGCAAATGACCAAGAATGGACTAGTCAGAATGTTTTAGAAAGGAATAAAGTTTGGAGAATAGAAAAACTATTCGGTGCTCTCAGACTTGATGGCATTGACCAGGTCATGGTCCTGATCTTGAGACAGTTAAAAAGATCATCTTCTCATAAGAAACCAGCTGTGCCACACTGAAATTAGGGCTGTCTGCTTCTTCAAGCTGTTACCAGAGTAGCATTTCTCTGTGTAGCTATCTGTTGGAACATGTGCTACTCTGGACATGACATGGGCAAGGTTTGGATGGGGTCAGAGAGTGCATTATAAACCCTCATTTCGAATGACATGGACACTATCAGAGTGTCATGTACTCTGAATTTGTTCAAATTTTGTGTGTGAGGATTCAGATATAATGGGAGAAAATTAATGATGTTAATGAGATTAGAATCAGGGGAAGAAGTTTGAAATTAATCATTATGTTATTGAGGGTCATTCAAAGGTAGCTTAGTTAAGAAACTAATGTTTTTGTAACTAGATATCTTTTTGGCCATGATATGTTGTGCTGTTTTGCTTTATCATTTTCCATTGCATTGGAGGCTGCCTTACTCCATGGTTCGTTTTCAACCTATTATTTTTTGACAAAGATCAATACAAAACATGAACACCCTCCATCTAACCCTGTCCCCCACCCCCAAATAAAAAAAGTTTTTAACCATGCTATGGCTTACAGAATTCTTACATAGCTTTAGCATATTTTCGTGAGTGGCTTTTTCAAGAGCTTCACTACAGTCATTTTTGGTGCAAAGCTTATGGCGTTGCTATAAAGGAAATTTATAAGTTAGGTAGCCTATTTAACTTTGGCAGATGCATTTGTTCTTAAGCCATATTGCATTTTTTGTTTGTTTGCATTGAAGAAGTGAGAATTTATAGCAAAAAAAAAAAAAAAAAAACATTTGGGCTTTATTAATTTAAACACCTGGCATTAAGGCAAGTTTGTTGATTTTGAGTTGGTAAGGGGAGCCGTTTTTTTTTTTAAACGGAAAATGGTAGCAAAGTTTAACCTGAAATGATGGGCTAGCATTGGGGAAATTTGAGAACTAACCAATACTAGGCTTGAAGGTGTGAGTATTGAATTAGATTTAGTAAACTATATATAAAGGATACAGTGGTATGAGGGACGGCAGTTAAGGCAGAATTTATTGAATGAGGAGCTCTTATATATTTATTTCAAGGTGTCACTAATAGGTTATTTGATGAACAAGCTCAGGTCATTGGCCTTTGGCCTCCTGCAAACCATGTTTGAAATTCGTCAAAAAAAATGTTTAAGATATTTTCTTTAAAAAAAGTATCAATTGTTTCCCTATAATTTGTTGGTTTGTACATTTCACAAGGGAATAAGAATATCTTTTAAATTTATTTGGACTATAACCTTGAAAATTACATTAAAAATTTAATGTTTCTCATAATGTTTAAGCATGGTTTGCAGATAAGCAGAGCTGATATTACATCTCGTACAGTTTCACTGCTTATTCACTGCTTGCTGATGGACAGAATTTTTTTCTGTGCTTTATTATTATAAGTTAATGAAACGTCAGGCACATTGAATGTCCAAAAATCACAGTATTTATCCCATATATCTTAATTCCATATACTGGAAACGTGTTATTTGTACTTGCGTTGTAGACAGCTTCTATCTATCAGATTTACATTTTTTATTTTACATTGCTTCATTCTGTAACTTTTCAATTAGAGATTAACTAAAGAAGTGCCTTAAAGTTTATATCAAACAGTATGAAAAGAGAGAACAAATGCAGCTATTAACAAAATGCACCTGCTAACTGGATTGATTGTCAGAGTCAGAATGATGGGTGTCGTTGTTTTATGTTTATTTTATGGGCCTCTTCATTTGGTAATAAAACCATTTGTTAACTGAGCATTTTGCACAAACTTCATTTCCATCATTTTGATTGGATGAAAATCTACCAATGAGAGATCATCCCACAAAGTGCCTGCCAGAAAAGCATTTTGAAATTTGTGCAAAGATGCTTAGAGCAAGAATTAACAGCATTTTCATAAATCTTTCACACCTTTTGTTTTCTTAGGGAGGAGACATTCATTGTGAAGGACATGATGATGCCAAGGATTTCGCAGATATTCGTTCGGCTATGAAAGTTTTGATGTTTGAAGATTCTGAAATCTTTGACATTCTTAAAATTCTGGCAGCACTTCTGCATCTGGGCAATTTAAAATACCAAGGTAAGAATAGTAGTCTTAAAATGTTGTACCCATGTGGTGTATTCTGTAATTCCTCAGAGTAGAAGCCCTCTTACAATGTGTTCAGGGTGTGTTTTTGGCATCATAGCCAACTTATAATTGCCTCCTATGTAATATCTGCCTTGCAATGTGGACATTGAGGAAATTTTCAACATGATACTTTTTGATGAATTGCAGCAATAATTTGAAATACTTATATCCTTAGAACTCCATTTTATACATGCTTTTAATTCAAGAGATATAGTGAATTGTGAATGATAATGTGGAACTATTTTCTGCTGTTCTTCAGAGGCGCAGATCAACAACATGGATGCCTCCGAAATCATGGACCTGAACTGTGCCAAGAGAGCAGCCAAGATGTTGGGGGTGAGAGATTAGCAGGCACTTTAACAAGAATAACGATATATATGGCATTTTCAAACAAAAACTTGACCCTGAAGATTCATTATTATTATTATTTATTTGGCTATATAATATATACATTTTAATATAAGTTTCTTAAATATTGATTTTACATGTGAACATGTTTTTGTTAAATCATTATGCATATACAAAATACTTTGAATTTATAGGCATTATTATGATTATTACAATGAACATTGGGTAATATTTCATCTCCCCAATACAACAGGTGGCGCCTCAAAACCTGGTGGATGCCTTGACCACGAGGACCATCTTTGCCCAGGGAGAGTCGGTCATCTCCAGCATGAATGTCCAGAACTCGCTGGATGTCAGGGACGCCTTTGTGAAAGGTTTGGAAGATTGATAGTTATTATTGATTATATCAGTCATCAGCAGTTTTGATGGTCATGCTAGGGGATCATATACTGCTCCCCAAGTCACAAACACTCCATCAAATCAGTAATAATTTGGAGTTTAAAAAAATAGAGCAGATATAATGTTATATTTGGAGTCATCCTATGTAACTTTTGTTGCTAGCATGGGCCTTTAGATATGTCAACCTTCTTTTCTGCTGTTTAATATATGAAAATATAGTGCTTAAAAGATTAAATGTAATGAAATAATGACTAGGCTTTGAACAAATTTTAATCATAATCATGTTTTATGGTTTTAAAAAAGTTTTCACAAATATTTTATGTGTTAAATGAAATAATTAAATAAATATTTTATGTAAGAGCATTATAAGTCAATTGCATTAAGGCAAAGCAGTTTTGCCTTAACAAATTTTACCATTGTGTTTTGTGGTAATATACACCATATATATTTCTTTCTCCAAAGGTATCTATGGGCGCATGTTTGTCTTCATTGTGGAGAAGATCAATGCTGCCATCTATAAGAAGAATCTAGACAGACATGAGAGGACCTCTATAGGAGTGCTGGACATCTTTGGGTTTGAGCTCTTTGATAAGAATAGGTGGGTAGGACTTGAGCCTGAATCAAGGACCCTGTTTTTTTTTTAAGTCTGAAAATTGCTCTGAATTTTAGACCAATATTGTTGTTCAAGGAAACACAAGATAAATTGGAAATGGACAAGTGAAATGAAATACTGCACCTGTTTTGTAACCAGTACTATTGAAGTGAATAGCTATCTTGAACAGAAATGGGCCAAGTTTTGGGTCATTTGTTAGGACGAGTTTTACAAAATCGCTATATCTCCATAATTGATCTAAATTTTTCAGACCCAAAATTAGGTCTACTTTATGATAGAAAAACCTTATTTTCATTGTAACGATCCACTTTTCAGCTTTGAGCAGCTTTGCATCAACTTTGCCAATGAGAACCTACAGCAGTTCTTTGTGCGCCACATCTTCAAGCTAGAGCAGGAAGAATACAATATGGAGGGCATCAACTGGCAGCACATTGAGTTTGTGGATAACCAGGAAATTCTGGATCTGTTGGCAGTCAAACCCATGAGCATTCTGGCCTTGGTGGATGAGGAGTCCAAGTTTCCTAAGGTATTGTATTTGTAAAAAAAAATATATATATATATATTATTATTATTGTAAAGTTCACTTTTTAAAGTAAAAGAGTTAACTCTGAGCTGATTTCAGTCCTCTCTGGCTTTGAAATACAAGTGTCCTAATGTAGCTATATATTATTTTCGTTGTAAAAGTTGTAAATTTCACTGTTTAAAGTAAAAAAAAAGAATCTGTGATCCCATTTCACCATTTCTTACCATCTACCCTTTCTTCCAGGGCTCTGATCGCTCTCTCCTGGAAAAGCTGCACAGACAACATGGCAAGAACGTCCACTACCTAAGACCCAGGGCAGAGGTGAACCCAATGTTTGGACTGAACCATTTTGCTGGTGTGGTCTTCTATAGCATCAACGGTGAGAATTTGATATGGTGTACTGTGACATTTGTGTGGCCAATCCATCTGTCCCCCCCCCCCCTCCAAAAATAAATAGATAAAAAATCACTAAATGAGCATGTTTGAACAAACATTTTGTAATTTTTTGCACAAATTGGTCATTGCCATACTATGCCAATATAGATTCTGTATTTATTCCTAAGATTTCAGCTAGCCAATCAACAGTAATCTTTCCATTATAGTTTTTGTATGACTGATGTCCATGATAAAAAGTTTAAAATCTCTTTATTAAGTGCCATTCTGCTGACTGAAATTATAAGGATATTTCTTTTACTAATGGCAGAATTATTCATGACAAAATATGTTAAATGGATGCCAGTCTAATTTGATTTATTTTCAATTAACTTTTTTTTTCAGGTTTCCTAGAGAAGAACAGGGACACTTTTAGTCCAGATTTGATCCACTTGATAGAGACATCACAATTTAAGTTTCTCAAGAATTTATTCTACAAAGATATGCATATGGTGGGTAAAACAGTTTTTGATATTTCTCTTGATTGATTATTTCAAAAGAATTTTCTCTAAAAATATTTTCATATTCATATCAAAATAAAATTTGAGTGTTAGTACGTAGCATTTTAATTTATTTATTTATTTATTTATTTATTTATACTTTTTACATCCAAAGCTACATGGGATTATGCAGTTTGACAAGTCAATGCTTTAAATTTCTACGAAGTCTGTGTTTCTGCAGGTTTCTAAAAATCTTTTATCAGTTTGAAAGCAGATAATCTTTTTTATCCACAGAAGTATAGGTGTCACTAGCATTCAAAAAAAGTATGGATGATGTCCTTATGTGTTTTTTATTCTATCCATCTTCAGGGCCCAGACACTAGAAAGAGGAGCCCCACCCTTGGCTCTCAGTTCAAACGCTCCCTGGAGCTCCTGATGAAGACCCTGGGAGCTTGTCAGCCATTCTTTGTACGCTGCATCAAGCCAAATGAGTTCAAGAAACCAATGGTATGTTATGATAAATTGATATTTCATATGTTTGCCTAGTTTCCAGTCTTTAATAAGCCTGCTAAATTAGCTTAATATCTAGGAAACAAATTTGAACTTATGATTGCCTAAGAGAATGGGAGTAAATGTGAAGTATTAATGAAGAAAGATACACTTACGATACGTTTTAAACAAAAAGTATAGCATTATTCTGTAATGACCATTAAAAAAAAGGAAAATGATCCTTTTTACCCTGTGTGCTGTATTCAGTTATTACCCCCTTCTGCATCAAATTAATTATTGTTAATAAGCATTATTTTTTTTTTTTTTTTGTACTAAAGTTTGAACAAAAATACACTGTAAAGTAATTCTGAAAGTCGGTCAAGCTTCAGAATTATTTCAGAATTGTTGTCCACAAGGTGTCAATAAGTTTCAACTTTAATGAACAATCACTTAATCCTGTGAAGACACATTTCCAGAATTCTGTTCTTTATAACTTCATTTTCATTTCCAGCTATTTGATCGCGAGCTATGTGTGCGACAGCTGAGATACTCTGGTATGATGGAGACCATCCGTATTCGAAGGGCTGGCTATCCCATCAGGCATACCTTCGCCAACTTCGTAGATCGTTATCGTTTCCTTGTTCCGGGGATTTTACCACCACATAAAAACCCCGACTGCAAGGCAGCTTCAATGAAAATCTGCCAAGTTATTCTAGGAAAAGTTGATTATCAGCTGGGAAAGAGAAAAGTTTTCTTGAAGGTACTGTGTTGTTTTTTTGCTCATGGTACTTAAAATGGTATTTTGGTATCAGAACGATGGTTTGAGCTACCCCAATCCACACAATTTCACTCCCATTCCCATCAGTGTCCTCTCTTGAGTAATTTTTGCCACATTCTTTAGTCAGAATTCCAGCCAAAATCCCCTGTCTTTATCATCCTAATGAACAACGGAATTTGAAATGCAAATACAGACAGACATATTCTGAGTCACCGACTCCTGATTTATTACAACAGTCATCATCATTATTGATTTATTGATAAGATTTGTAAATAGACACACATTAAAATTGTATTTTATTGAATGTTTTTTCCATTAAGATGACAACATTTTTTCACGGGACAGCAGCAGAAGTATTCACTTGTGTGAAATGTAAAACGAATTTGAATAACAGTTTCATAAAATGCCTGTGAAAATAAATGCAGAACCTAATAATCAAAAACCATTGTTTATTTATTTATTTATTAACTAATATGTATTTTAAATGCAAACATTCTTATGGATGCACCACTGAAATGCAAGAAATAATGATGTGATGTAAAACCTAAAAAACCAAAACGCCATTATTTTATTTATTTATTTATTTATTTATTTATCTGTTCTAAAGGATGCCCAAGATGTCAAACTGGAACAAGAGAGGGAGCTGGTACTGGGACAGAAGATCCTGATCATACAGAAATGTATTCGTGGCTGGCACTGCAGACGGCGGTTCTTAAAGATGAAGTCTGGCTCAGTTATCATTCAGAAAATCTGGAGAGGGTATGCACAGAGGAAGAGATACTTGGCAGTAAGTTGATTTTAAATAGGTGTGAAAATAATATATATTAAAAAATGAAGGAAACAAAAAGAAATTTGCCCCCATAAAAATAAAATACCATCCTGGACTTTTGAGGTAACACAGACAGGATTTTCTACTGATTTAAATCAGAAATACCAGTTTATTGGGTTTTTTTTCTTAGCAGTTTTCCTGATTGGAGCAACCCCAGACCCCTTGTCATTAAGCCAACAATTCATTTCTTCCTAACTTAAAATGCTGATACCCTGATGCAGCCTTGTTAGTCTTTCGTCCTGGGAGATCATTTTCTCACGTGAGGTCTATTAAAACCTGACCTTGAGTATTCATGCCATGGTTGGGCAGTGACGGCAGCGGATATGACATTGTTTATATTTCATAATGATTATTTAATACATACCTGTATTGACTGGTGATAGCTGTATGTCAGTTAGAATGATTTGACAACACGCCCTTCCTGTCAGTCAAGTGTAAGGTGGGGGGTTATTTATAGCTTAGGTCTATCAGGTCTGTGTATTAGTAAGGGCGCATTCAGATTCACACATCGTACCAGCTGGGTCGGTCCAACTCTGTGGGGTAATTCTCCCTATAGTGCAATCATTGGAATCAATGCATTGATTAGCACCCAATAGTTAATTACCCCCTAGCTGCACCGGGAGGTGTGTCAGACAATTTAGCTGATTCTACTGCTAGCACTTCAGCGATAATCTCTCAGTAGCGTATACAATGTGTGAATATGAATGCAGTCCGAGTCTCTCAAACTCATGGTGAGAAGTTATGATGATGTGGATTAATCACATTAAAAAAAGATCGGAAGCCTGTTTCCCTATAACCGCACCCCTTATAATCCCAACTTTTCCCTTTTCCGTTACCTCTTCACCATCAACATTTCTGCTTTTTTTTATCCAAATGAAGAGCTTGACATAGAGGTTAAGAGAAATTAGAAACGGAGGATTTCACTTGCTGATTATAGTCGTATTCATATGTGAAAAGGTCACACCCAGATAAGAGAGTTTGTAGTCGTAGGAGGGTGAAAACATTGGACCAGTCAGTTGTTGCCAGTCAGTCTCTGTTTTACAAGTACTAGTAGTCAGAGAGGAGTTAAGACATGCCATGGGATAGGGAGATTCATTACAGCCTGGTTAGTTTTTTTATTTGGTAAAAGTCTGGGATTTGAAATAATGGCTGTTTGTTAAGTGACATACATTGTGGTAAACTAAATGAGAAATCATTGATTGTTTAATTATTTATTTATCTGTTAATTTTGATCACAAGGTTTATTTTTTGTTAATTTTTTTATGTGACTGAGACGAAACTGGCCATGTTGTTTGAATTAATAGTAGATCATAGTATATTTAAGATGCTTTAATAGTAGAATTAAATGAGATGCGGATTTGAAATAAGTTTACTAGTAGGTGAAAAATAAATATTTTATTGGTTAAAAATACATCTTTTTCTTTGTCAGATTAAAAAGAATAAGGAATATTTTTACTAACAAAGTCGACATAGGATGGTGATTTTGCTTCAGATTTATGGATAATCATTATTTATAAGATTAAATCTGAGTGAAAATGATCAGTTTTTATTCCAATACTTTGCTAATTGTAACGTTTGATTGATTTCCAGATGCGCAATGGCTACATGCGTCTACAAGCTCTGTACAGGTCTAGGATTCTTACTGCTAGATTCAGCGCACTCCGCGCCATGATGATCAGCTTCCAGGTGGGTGGCGATAAAATTAAAAGAAATATTTTTTCTGACAGTCAGTTGTATCCAGGTTATGTGTTGAACAGAAATAATTTTTTCTTTGAAATGCTATGCCTTAAAAGTAAAAAAACGTTGTTTAATCTCTTAAATTTTTTTATCAGATTTCTTTGTTTAGTATGATAATATGTGTTAAATTTTTATATTTTCATAATGATCTCATTTAAGGCGTTGAACGGTATCGTGTCAACTTTGCCACTATGTCTTGCAGTTACTTAGTTCAGATGTACATTGTTCTGAGCTAAGCTTAGCTGTGTCTGATTTTTAAAAATTATTATTGTGAAATTTTACAGTAGTTTTTCAAACCTCTTCATTTGACAATTCATATTTCAATTCGTGATATAAAACTTATATCTGAATAAATCCACTTCAAAATTGAAAGTAAAACCAAATTTTTTTGTCTTGTTCCAGCGTTACTGCCGTGGTCATCTGGCGAGGAAGAGATACAACAAGCGTTTGTGGGCAGTGGTCACCATTCAGGCTGGAGTCAGGAAGATAATAGCCAGGAGGAAGTACAGGAGACTGAAAATGGAGGTAAGAGATTTTTTTAAATAAAAAATTGAAATAAGAGATTGGATACTAATTTTAAGCAGTTATCCTCTCATGGAATCTGACTAGTCTGATTTAGTTTCAGATAATACTATTAAAAAAGGCTTGTCAAATTTCATTTTTGTGCAATGGCTTTTTAGTTTTATGACCATCTTACACATTAATTGAAGGCTCATCAAAATTGTTTTTAGTATTTTATATGATACATATATGGAGCAACTTGAAGGTATTATCTATTTTTCATCTCACAGAACTCATATTTTTGACATATTTGAAGTGTCTTTCTCTTCCAAAACATTTATCTGTACTGTTGATTTGTTTCTCTTTCAGAGACAAAAGCGTCTGGAAGCAGAGCGCATCAGGAAGATGGAGGAAGAGAAACTGAGGAAACAAATGAATGCCAAGAAGGCCAAGCAGGAGGCTGAGAGATTGCACAAGGTAAAAAAATTTGTTTGTTTGTTTGTTTATTATGAGTTAAATAATAGGTCTTTCTTTCTTTATTATTAGTTAAAGAATAAGACTAACAAAGATTTGCTAAATTTTAAAAACTGCATTTAAGCAAGGATTTATTTCTTAGAAAACAGAATTAAAATAGAAACTCACACAGTGCAAAAGTTTGCAAGTGATATAAAGGAGAATCTGACATCCAACAGACTGCCAGGGTTATATATTATGCTGTTGCAAAGTTACAGAAATGAGTACCTTTATATATTGTTGTTATTTATTTATTTATTCAATATTAAAGTTATAAAGGGACAATTTTGCATAAAATAAGTTTGCAGTTATTGGGTTATGCACATAGGAAATATGTAAGGAGTGAATAATTTTTTAAAGGTTATTTGCCTCATGAAATATAGTGTGCATAGTGTAAGGGACATTTTTTTTTTTTTTTTTATAAATGTCACACAGTTCAAATGGGACCACCAGAATGAAGCTTAGAAACTTACGGCAAAGTTTGGTCATTTAATACATTACAAAAATGAATAACCTTTAGAAATGTAGCACCTTGAAGATAAAAAAATATATTTAAAATCACCCTTTATAAAGTAATTATAAGGGTTATAAATCATCAGTTACTTGTATTTTGATAGGAAACAATGTAAGCAATGTTTCTGTGTGCAACATCTTGTAGAATGGAATTTTGTATAATTAAAAAAAAAAAAAAAGGCTTCACTGACCTTGGGTGTATGTGTGTTAGTAACCTTAAAACATCACAATAATGACCTCAAACAGCTGTTGCCATGGTAACCGTTGAGTGGCAGCCATGAAACGGACAGATTTTGAGGCAGATGGAACATCTTTCTTTTACTGAGAGAAAGAATATTTTTTAGAGAATATTTTAATTTTTTTTTAATGGCAACATGAAGAGCAGGACATGAAGTGACATATTTGTAACAGATAGTGCATTCCATGATGGAATGTTTAGGGAGTAACTTTCAAACAAAATTTGACTAAAAAGTCTGCACATACATTAGAAGATGACCTAAGAGCTGTGGAAAAAGATGGACTTGAATATTTCTCATTGGTGGGTGGGGCCTGCATTGGAGTATTTGATATAATATTGACACAGTCACCAAGATGGAGGATGACTTCTCCTCTTCTGGAGACGAAATACAAAATGACTCCGAGGAATCTTTTCCGAATAACACTATGGAATCTCTTCCAAATGGCAATGTGGAAATGTCTCCAACAAATTCAGAAGAGGATCTCAGTGATTCCGTGGAATCTTTACCAAATAATTATTTGGAAACTAGCACAAAAGAATTATCTAGAAAGATATCATGGCTGCCAGTAAGGAGGTACATGGTGGTTCCTGCCATGACTTTAGAGGTTGGTAATTAGGAGAAAAAAATGGTGCTTTCTCTTTTTAGTCATTGACAAATAGTTTTGTGTTAAAAAGATTAAACAAATGCTTTTAAATGGGGGCCATTGACAGTATTAAAATATAGCAAAACCATGAAGGCAAATCTGTTCAAAGCTGTACAGTGTTTATTTTAAATATGAGAATAGGTCTCACAGATATCTAATTTTTATCACATAGAATAAAATCCACATATCAACTCAAAACCTGTTACTAAATTATTATTATGTTAGGTCTTATTTGCATGGAACTTGTTCAGTGGTATTATTTTTAATTAATACGAACTTTGCCTAATTTAATTCTTTGTGCAGGTCAAACAAATTTCCATTCCCAGTGTATGTGACAAGCAAGGTCTTCTGTAAATTGAAATGTTAGAAAATTAAATGAGATATGGCTTTACTTTAGATATTAATATGTTATATAAGGATAATATTTAATGAATATTATATACCGTATTGGTGACAAAGTTTTAATGTCATGTTGAAATATTCTGTTCTTTTGTAAAAATCTATATTGCTGTAATATTCATATGGCCACATATGTTTCTGGTTGTCCAACAGCTTGATACAATGTCAGGCTATCCAAATGAAAAGTCTATATGTGTTAAATGCTATGGTATTTTAATATAAGATATCTGTTTTTATCATTTTGATTTTTTTATGATGTGAGTTTTCATTGCAGGCCTTTTCTATATGTGGTTTATATTTGAAAAAAGTTTTTTGACTTGATATATAGCTGAATTTTGTCCCTATTAAATTTGCGCTAATGACAGTAGTATTACTTAAATGAAAAGAAAATGGCATCATCTGGGATAATGCATCAGTTGAACCAAGTTAATTCAGTTTGATCAATAAGTGTGCTACCAAAACATTTTGGATAAAAAAGAAACAAGTATTATATATCTACACTTTATTTGAATGAAGTATATCATGTTTACTTTTAGGAACGCCTTTCCCGTATCGAAATGGAGGTGCACGAGGAGGAGCGTCACGAGAGGGAAGAGAAGGAAAAGAAAAAGTTCATGATTGAAGAAGCGGAGAGAAGGAAGAATGAGCCAGTGGATGATTCCAAGATGGTGAGATATCTTTGAAACGTGCTTGAGCAGAAAAAGTCACAACTGTACGCCAACCATCAAACTATCATGTTTACTCTTATTGGCAATTTTTGATGATGTTTTTGTAATATTATAATAACGGTTATTTTAATTTCTACCCTATTATATTGTTTTGTTGATATTTTAACTGTGTCCTTGTGTTCCCAGGTGGACCAGATGTTTGGCTTCATAGATGCACAGACGGACTCTTCTGGAGAGGGGAATGCTCCTGAGGGCTTCAAGGTACTGTTATTATTATTTTTATTTATTTTTTTTTTAAATTAGTATTATTATTATTATTATTATTATTATTATTATTATTATTATTATTATTATTATGACTGTTGTACATTTTCAGATTAAAATTTGGACTCTATCATTTAGGCAACATTGGGCATAATAAATCAAATAATTGTTTCTCCATGGAAGATAATAATGTGATTTATAATTATTTTACTTCATAAAAACAGCAATTAAAGTCAAATGATATTTGAATGATATAACCTTAATTTCTAAATTATAATGGAATTATTATTGTTCTCAAATACATAAAAAATATTTCAGTATGTCATGGTTTTATAAAAAACATTATTTTCTTCCCCCTTTCCAGGACTTTGAAGAGTCTCGTCGCAGAGCAATTGCTGAAAATGGCTGGGACATATCTGACCTCCCCCACGCAGAGTTTGAGCAAGAAGACCTCTCGGAGTATAAATTTGCCAAGTTTGCTGCGACTTACTTCCAAGGAAATGCCACGCACACGTACATTCGCCGTGCACTGAAGTTATCACTGTTACAGTTGAAGAACGAAGGGGATCAGCTGGCGGCTCTCGCGGTCTGGATTACTATCCTGCGCTTCATGGGAGATTTACCAGAGCCGAAGTACCACACATCGCTGGCTGATTCAAGGGTAGGTCTGTTGTGTGACAGCCACCTCACTGTGGGGATTTTCCCAGAATTATTCTGGTTTAAATTTTGAAATATTGTGATTTTTTTTCTTATTTTTACAAAAAAGAAGAGAACTGTTTACATTTATTTTCACATTTTATAAATGATTGCCTTAAGTGGCATGAATGTTTTTATTCAAGTGGACATTGGGTAATATTTAAATGATGTACTATATATTAATTAAAAAATGAAGTTTTTCATATGTTATTTAAAGTAAAGTTAGTTAAGGCTGTTTTTATTATTATTATTTATTTATTTATTTCTTCTTATTATTTTTTAATTTAAGCTCATGTTTTGTCTTCTTACAGTTAATACATTTTTTTATAATCAACTGTTTTGTTTTTATTTAGGACACCACCCCAGTCATGACTAAGATCTACTCCACCCTGGGAAGAAAATTCAACAAGAAAGACTTGGAAGATGCTCAGAGAATGGGAGTCGAACTCGAAAAAGAACCCATTCCTACCAAAGTAGGAAAACGAAGCATGAGAAAGAAACTCGTGTCTCTGACCTTGAAAAAGAAGTCCAAGATCACGGAAGAAGTTGCAAATCGTCTGCGGGATGGGGAGTACCAGGGCAGTGGCAATGCATTGTTGGATGACAGGCCTACCTCAAACTTGGAGAAGCTGCATTTCATTATTGGGCACGGTATTCTGAGACCAGAATTAAGGTAGGAATTCAAGTGACAGACACTTTCAATATTCTGATCACTATGTCAGTCTGTGACATGGCAGTTGCTGTCATTTTAACTTGGGATTGGTCCTGCCTTGGCAGTTCTTAAAATATTTGTAACAGTTTTTTAAAAAAATCAACCTTTTTAAAATCCTCCCAAGTTTTGAAAAAGTGTATGTACACAATAGCACAGAATTTTTTTTTAATAATGAGGGTAAATAATGTTGAACATGTTAAAAAAGACAGTATATGTCATCATCTTTATGTTTCAGGGGTGATAATGTTTTATTTAATGATATAGCTGCATGTGTCATTTTCATATTGTGATTTAACTCCTTATCTGATTGTTTCCAGAGATGAGATTTACAGTCAGATCTGTAAACAGCTCAGCCAGAACCCCAGCAAGAGCAGTCATGCCAGAGGATGGATCCTGCTGTCACTGTGTGTGGGATGCTTTGCTCCATCAGACAAGGTAATAACTTGTACTAGTTCTATTGTAGTGAATATTGTGTGAATATGTCAGAAAGATATAAAGATAGTTAAGGCGTGTTTCAGTTGTACAAGTGTTCTGCTTTAGTGAGTATTATAAAGTGTAAAAATGTTGGTTGCAGTGTTTGCGCTGGGCAGTTTGTAAGTGGAGTCCTTGGGACCCCACTAGCATTGTAAAATGGGGTCCTTCAGAAAAAAATGGGGTCCTTCGGAAAAATAATTTTTTTTCTTATTTAATAATAAAAACTATCAATAATTTTTGTAAAATTGTAATCCTTTTTCTTCTCACCTCACCAGTAAGCACTAAGGTGCAACATGAATTGATGAAACAAATTTTTGACAGACACGACAAAACAAGTGCTTTGAAAACAGCTCTTGACATTATCTGAAACTCATAACGCAACAGCTTTCATTTTTATAACTTGATTTCTTTATTTTATATTACCATCAACCTTAAAATGTGTATGGATGGGTGGTGCATATCATAGACCAATTTCACAAACAATCCATGTGAAAAATAGTTCTTTAAAGTGTGATAACTTTAAATTACTTTTTACGGTGCCTCAAAGCACGAAAATTCTGAAGCTTCAGGAGCTTCTTGAAGACAGCAATATCTATACTCTCATCTGCAACTATTGATATAAAGTTAGCTGCCTCCATCCTCTCATTGAAATCTCTTCTTAAAACCATATCTGCAGATGTGATCATTTCCTCAACCTGTGAAATTTCAAAGTAGGACCAGTTCAAATTAAACCATTATGTTAAAAAAAAAAGAATCTATTATTTGGATCAGTTGTCAGCAAGATAAATCTGAATGACTGTTGACTGTGATATCTTTTTTTTTTTAATAAAGATAGTTGAAGTAGGCCTATATCAAGGACCCTGCAACAAAATTAAAATATCCTAATAGTAGTATATTTGAGCATTCTTTAAAAATGAACAATAATTTAAACTCGTCCTTAAAATGCCCAGTACTAGGACATGTTTATCATTCGCAACAAACGGATTGCATAATAAAATTTAATACNCTCCCATATTTTGCTCCAGAACTCCTCAACCTCTTGGATAGTGGGTGGTTCATTAACATCGATCTTCTTTTTCCCTAGCTCTCTGTAGAACTTTTTTGCATCTTCTTTGAAGGTCTTGTTTTGTCTGAAGAAGTTGCTTCTTTTATTGAATCTCCTGAGCCTCTGTGCTTTTGCTTGTATCTTTTGTTTGAGAGTTTCCTTAACTTTTGGTATGTCTTCCTTCTTCTTGATGTTGAGCTTTCTTTCCAGTTGTTTCCTCTTTCTCTCTTTGATTGTGGAGCCCTTTTCAATTTCGCTCAGGAGTGAGACATCTCTACGTAGCTTCTGAATATTTTTCTGAATCTTCTCTTTCCATACCGGTTGTTTTCGTGCCTGTTTCTGTTTTCTGGGTCTTTCTCCTACTGTCTCTGCTATTACTGAAGCTGTTGCATATGTGAGCTGGTTTATTTCTGTCAATTCCATAGGTCTTGTCATGTCATGTTTGATTTGGCGTATTGCTTCATTTGCATGTGTGATGATTTCTTTTGAACGCTGGTCTTTCTTGATCTTTGGAATTGGTGTTCTATCGCCAATGGGTGTCTCTTTGATGGTCTCCCATTTCTGTTTGACTTTTGCTGCCATTTCCAACACTCTCTCGTTAACAGGTTCCTCTTGGACTGCCTCTGGGTGGTTTTCAGGGTCAGTGATGTTGGCTTCAACTGGTTCTACAGCAGCTGTAGTTGTTTCATTGGGTTTGTCTTGGCTAAGTTATTATTATTATTATTATTATTATTATTATTATTATTATTATTATTATTATTATTATTATTTAATGGCAATTATCATGAAGAGCAGGCACTATAAGAAAAACGAATATGAGATTTTTTGTTTAAACTCACGTAATCCTATTTGAAATTTTTCTATTATTTCAGAAAAAAAATTTAGTTTTTCCATTTAAAAAATTAAAATAATGATTTATAGAAGTATGCAGTCACCGGGGATGGTAGGTATTTTGGTTTTCGGGATGTTTGCAATGACAGTTGCATATCAGAGTGGAGAGCAGGTGAACAACATGGTGCCTAGAGACGCACCCGAGGCACCGCCGAGGAGAAAGGGAGATCACGAAGCCATTCGAAAAAAGTTGCAAGAGGCTGGTGTATTGAGAGTGTCAGAAGAACAAGGCTTAGGCAAGTAGAATGGTTGATTAACTGCACAAAATGTGGAGTCTTGAGTTTGCAATGCGAGGCGTTTTCCCATGACATAGTGGAAGAAGTTTTATAATAAACTTTCCATGTTGCTCATGGTCTGTTTGTTAAATTACATTGATTTTCTGTCAATGCATGAACGAAAGACAGCTGATGAATGGGCAAATTTATAGATTTGATCATTTGATTGGTGATGTGTTTTTTAAAACACTTGACAATTAAAATGCTTAAGAATATAAAATACGTTTTATCAAGCGTAGTGAAAATAAATTTGAATAATACCACAAGATATGGAAATCTTACATGATGGGGATTAGTTGATCAGTTAAAATGCACTTTGAATTATAGAGCATTGTAAGTGACCAAAAAGAAGACTATAATTCAATAAGATGGTATATAATGTTGGTTTTAACTTACCCAAATTAAATTGCAAAAGAATATTTTAACAATGGGCGATTTGCTCTTATTCATATCTCCCTCAGTGCCCCTTATTGAGTACACTGATGGTTCTGGGATATCAGGACAATACATCGCTCGACTTTTGCCTGGTGCAAAATACGGCCCAAGTAAGTAAACGTATCTATCTTCTGGTATATCCTTTGCTAATGAAATTCACTAGCATTAGCTTTTCGACCTACGTGTTCCAGCCCCTATGTATCCTATGTTTATATCTGTATGTTGTTTTAACTTTACTGCATCGGATACAGAAAGGCAACGGGTGAGGACATTAAGGTCGCCTAGCATTTGTGGTTTTGATGGTCAATTCAAACCAAACGCCGCTGTGGTTGAAACGCTACAAGAAAGCAAGCATGGGAAATTTTATAATAATGAAGCTGGTCCGTGTATAATCTAAAACTTTTGCTTTATGCTGCGTAAACAATGTTCAGTAATATAAAAATGCTCATTTTGTGATCCATTTTTTTTTTTTTTTTGCCTGATGCGATCCGACGCCCAGCGTGCAGGGGGCACTTTTCCAGCTCACACATGTGCTTATGACCTCTGTCAAGGAGGTTATGTTTTTGCTTCCATTAGTTTGGTAGCTTATTAATGCTTATTAACGCTCAAATGTATGGACGGATTTCGATGAAATATTAAGGGTTGGTCAAAAATGGGCTAACTTAAAGGATTTGCGCCATACCGTCAGAATGACCTGAACGGAACATATTCTTCAGAAAATATGCCCAACTAACGATATCTTTATCCAAATACACAAATTAAAAGCTCATTTTTTTAAAATTTTTGGCTTTAAAAAACGTCCTATTTGCTCGGCCTGGGAGTTAATGAGCTACGTGGTCACGTGGTCCAATGACGACAATCGTGCCACCGGAGAACAGAGCGTGCTTAGCAGTCAAATTGAGCTGCATTGTCTACCTGTAAGATGACTTCTCTGGCTTCTGTTAAAAGTTTATACTCATTCAAATCTCTTACCCGAGGGGTCTAAATCCTCGTGAAGCTGTGTAAAACCATTTCCCGTCTAGTCAATTCTTTAACAAGCATGTAATTATGGTTATCCCAAGTTGTATAAAACACTGCATTTGAATGAGTTAAGGGTACTGTTGATTATTGCATATGAGGTCCATGTTATTTGTGAAATTCAATTAATTTTATTAAACCGCTGACATTCCGTCTTGCATACTTTTATTAAACTGAGGTGAACAATGCCCGTTACCTTTACAAGTCCTATCTTAATCACTCGTCTAACTGGAACTTCCTTTACCTCTTAATTAGAGGGTTAAATGGCATTCAATTCTCCTGTAGCGAGTATCTATCTGGCGATATTTATCTCAGGTAAAAATCTACCTGTGCGTTAGTTTCAAAGAGCAGCTCCCGCAGACCTGGGGGTACTAGATAAAATCTGAACACCAGGTTTATCGAGGAGATAAAGAAACAAAGGAAGAATTTTTCCTGCACAGCTTCATAGGAATTTTAACATGGACTTGATCCAGCTTAGACCTCCAAACTAACAGGGTGACATGAGCAATTTTCACAAACAAATGATAAAACTATATTTCAGTTAGCCTCCTTTTAAATAAATATACCGTTCTGGGTAAATTAGAATATTTATTAAATCGCGAGAATATTTTTGACTTAAATGATGATTTTATTATTAATGGAAATTAAGCTACTATATGAGGTACATGTGCTGTGATTACGCTGTCCTTCATGTTTTGCGTTAGTCTACATTTTGCTGTACGTGCTTGTAATTTTTTTATCTGTGCGTACAACTTTTGCAGGTCTTGTTACGCCCCTGTTATGTGATGAAAGTCTAAATTTGGCAATTAGTTCCTTAGCTTATTTAAATAGAATTGCAGTGTAAAAATTTCAACAAGATGTTGGCGCAATAGCCCTTTACTCTTTGTGGATATTTCCCCCGTCAAAGTTTGTCTATTTGTCTAAAATTATCTTTCAATCTTTACTCTTTTTCCTGTTTTTCCACAACACGTTTTCTTCCAAGGAAGTAATGCCTGGGCATACGCATGCTTCAAGATACCCTGAGAGCAATTTCTGTTATTAATGTTCGCGACCGTGTTTGATCTTAATTGTTTAAATATCGATATTTAACGTCATTTACAAATACCAATAAAATAACCCCATGATTAAATGAGATATATTGAAAAATATGAAAGCCCACCAAGACGAGTTTGATACCTGTTATTACCTGGCTTGGGAATTGCAGCAGTGCATAATTAACAGGTTTTATTGTTAACGAGCTCTTGGTCAACTACAATGCATTTAAAATACATCAGCAATTAGTAAGCTTACCGGCTGATGACAGTTAATCTAAAAGACTATCAGCTTTTGATATGATCTAAAACACCTGAGGTGACCGAGATCGCGAGCATCGCAACTATTGTCACCGAAGTTAGTAAGTCACGGAAGACCGTCACAGACAAAGAAATTTTGGTGAATCCCACGGCAACACACTGAGGCATAAGGAAAATTGCTCAACTCCGTTCAACACAACTTTCTTAAACTATTGTCTGTATGCACCATGCAGCTCAGTTAAGTCTCATAGACCTATATCCTCATTGTCGTCACAGTACCACGTGACCCAGATCTGTTGCTTCATTTATGCATTTTGAGGTTAGGTTTACTAAAACGCTTTTTTTCTACTAATAGATTGTTTTTATAAATTTTTAATGGCGGGGATCGATTAAAACATACCT